TTTGTTATAAATTACCCAGTCTTGGGTATATCTTTACCAGCAGTGTGAAAACAGACGAATACAAGGTGTAAGAATTAGGTTGAGGTTCATTTATTTGCATATGAATGTCCAATAGTTTCAACATCGTTTGTGGCAAAAGCATTCCTTTCTTCACGGATTTGCCTTTGCACCTTTCTCTCCCACCTCTTCTATTTTTCTGGAATAGATTGTGTAGAATCAGTGTTATTTCTTTTAATGTTTCGTGGAATTTACCCATGAAACCATCTGGGACTAGAAATTTCTATTTCAAAAGTCATTTAAACAAGAATTCGATTTCCTTAATAGTTATAGGACTATTTTGGATATTTATTTCTTGAGTGGGTGTGGGTAGTTTGTGATGTTGGGACAGGCAATCTACTATCCTTTTGCATCCCTGCATGTTCCTAATGGGTAGACCAAGAATACAAGTGTCTAACTACTGTTGATCTAGGCCATGTCTGAAGGTTATGTATATGGTGAGCAGGATGAGGAAATGTTTCCCCTTTACAAAGAGCCTTATAAAGGAGGTAAACTGTCTAGGTTCAGTGTTCCTTGGGTGCCACAAAAATCCACTGCATGTGTTATATTCATGTAGTCCTGCCTGTATTGCCTCCATAAACTTCAGATATATGTATAACCAATATAAACCAATATGAAGCTATGGTGCTTGCTGTAACAGGTTAACTAGTTAGCTTGTAAGTATGGCAAAATCTCAGACCTTTTATAGTTCTTGCTATATAATCTTCAGGGAACTGGTTATTTCATCTCAATTGCCATATTTATGTCAGTAGAGAATTTTTTGGTAGTATTTTCTTACTGTTCTGTTAATGTCTGCAGTCTGGTATCTCCTTTTACTCCTGATATTAGTAATCTGTATCTTTTTTTCTTTTGTCAGTCTTGCAAGAGGCTTATAAATTTTACTGACCTTTTCAAAGAATAAGCTTTTGGTTTTGTTGATTTTTCTCTATGGCTTTTCTATAATCAAATTCATTGATACTATTTATTATTTGCTTCTTTCTGCTTGCTTTAGGGTTTTCACTTTTAAGTTGAAGGCTTATTGACTCAAGATCTTTTCTTTTTTCTATATTAGCATTTAATGCTATATATTTTCTCCTAAGAAATACTTTAGCTGCCCCTCACAAATTTTGATATGCTGTATTTTCATTTTTCAGCCAGTTGGAAAAGCATTTGTTAAACCATGGATGATTTTGAAGTGTTCGGTTTTCAAGCATATGTAGATTTTGTAATCATATTTGTTACTAATTATGATCAGGAAACATAGTTTGCATGATTTCAATTTTCAGATTTGTTATGGTTTATAACCCAAGACAGAATATGGTCTGTCTTGGTGAATGGTCCATGTACACCTGAAAAGAATGTGTATTTTCCTGATGATGGGTTGAGTGATGTATAAATGCCAATTAGACCCAGCTGATGACAGTGCTTTTCAGTTGTTCTATATTCTAGCTGATATTCTGTCTACTAGGTGTATTGACACCTGAAAAGATTGTTCAAGTCTCTGTATTAGGCCATTCTTGAATTGCTATAAATACCTGAGACTGGACAATTTATAGAGGTCTAATTGGCTCATGGTTCTGCAGACCATACAGAAAGCATGATGCTGGCATCTGCTTTGCTTCTGGGGAGGCTCCAGGAAACTAAGTCATAACAGAAGGCAAAGCAGGAGCAGGCATGTCTTACATAGCAGGAGCAAGAGGGTGGGGAGATGCTACACACTTTTAAACAACCAGATCTTATGAGAACGATCACAAGGACAGTGCCAAGAGGATGGTGTTTTACCATTCAATAGAAACTGCCCCCATGATCCAATTACCTCCCACCAGGCTCCACCTCCAACTTTGGGCATTACAATTTGACATGAGATTTGGGCAGGGACACAGATCCAAACCATATGAGTATCCAACTACGATTATGAACTTATCTATTTCCTCTTTCAGTTCTGTCAGTCTTTGCTGCATGAATTTTGAAGATTTGTTGTTTGGTGTGTACATTTAAGACTGTAATGTCTTCTTAGTGAAGTGATTATCTTTTCTTTATCCCTGGTAATTTTTGTTACTCTAAAGTCTACTTTTATGTTAATATAGCTATTCTAGCTTTTATTGTTTGCATGGTGCTAGGGTCTTAATGCTGGTGTCCCCCCAAAATTTATATGCTTGAATGAGATAATGTGATGATGTTGGGAGGTGGGGGTCTGTGGGAAGTGATTAAGTCATGAGGGCTCAGCCCTCATTAATTGGATTCGTGTCCTTATAAAGAGGCCTAAGAGACTCCCCTGGCCCCATCTGTATTTGTGAGGATGCAGCAAGAAGTCATCATCTTTGAAGCTGAGCGCAAGCTCTCACCAGACACTGAATCTGCTAGCACCTTGATCTTAGACTTCACAGCCTCCAGAACGATGAGCAATAAATTTCTCTTGCTTATAAATTATTCAGTCTAAGATGTTTCATTATAACGGCCTGAATAGACTAAGACACGTGGATATATCTTTTCCCATCATTTTATTTTTAACTTACCTATATCACTATATTTGAAGTGAGTTTCTTGCAAATAGTATATAGCTGGGTCACTTAAAAAAACTAACAATCTTTCTTTTAATTGGCATCTTTACATCATTTACATTTAATGTAATTATTAATGTGTTTGGATTTGGTTCAAACATTTTGTTTTCTGCTTGTTTTCCTGGTTTCATGTTTTGTTTTAAATTCCTGTTACAACTTTTCTCTATTTTGGGGATTATTTCATTTTAATTTTCCCATTGTATTTTTGACAGTATCTGTTTGTACAGTCTTTTAAATTTTTAATGCTCTAGTAGGGATTACAATATACATACGTAACTATTCGAAGTCTACTTGGAACCACTACATGTGGAATACAGAAATCTACTTTGATTTAACAATGATTTCTAACTGATTTAACAATGTTAAATCAAAATTTAACATTGTTCTAGGCTGAGCACAGTGGCTCATGCCCTCTAATCCCAGAGTTTTGGAAGGCGGAGGCAGGAGGATTGCCTGAGGCCAGAAGTTTGAGATCCACTTGGGCAACATAGTGAGATTGACACTACAAAAAAATTTCAAAATTAGCCAGTTGTGGCAGTATGCACCTATAGTCCTAGCTATCAGGAGTCTGAGGTAGGAATGTAGCTTGAGCCTAGGAGTTTGAGGTTGCAGTGAGCTGTGATCATGCCACTGCACTCCAGCCTGGGTGACAAAGCGAGCCCCTATCTTTCTAAAACAAAAAAAGCAAAAAGCACTGTTCTGGAGATACCAGCCATAAGGGGCAACAATTAGAGGTAAAAAATGGAAAAGACAAAAATGATGATTATTTGCAGCAAATAATATGGTTGTTCACCTAGAAAATGCAAGAGAACCAGCCAGAAATTTATTGCAACTGTTAGAAGAATTCAGTTAGGTGACTGGGAACAAAATTAAAATGCAGAAATCAACAGTTTCCATGCATAAAACAACAGCCATATGCAACACATAATGAAAGAAAATATTAAAATTGTTCATGGGTATCCAGAAATATACAAGAGCTATAATAAAGAAGTTTTTAAAAGGTGATTGAGAAACACATACTTCTGATTACTTAATATATAGTATATACAATATGTATTATATATAAGTATTAAAAAATCAGAAAGGCATTTCATACTATTTTCTTGGATCACAATGGGAAAAACCAGTTTCAGACAGTTGATAATACACTTGGCTGAGGAGTCAATGGCATGCTACCATCTGTGTGTTTAACAGTCAACACATTAAGAAAGTCGAATTTCTCTAAATTGCTATGGAAATTAATTCATTCCACCAAGAATACTAAACGGGATTTTTTTCTTTTAAAAACCAGAAAAATTGATTTCAAAATATAAAATATGAGCAGGACTAATTGGAAAATTATAAAAAGCAAAAACACTTAACTGAAAATTATCCCTACCAGAGAGTACAGCAATTTTAAACTACAATAATTGAAACAGTGTGGTACCAGATCATGAATCAACAGTTCATCACATAGCCTTAAAAGTCCAGAAATCAATTAGCAACAAATCAGTATTAAAAAAAAAAAAAAAAAAAAAAAAAAAAAATAAAAAAAAAAAAAAAAAAAGACAGATTACATAACATGATATTGCAATAAGTGGGCAACCATCTGAAAAAAATTAAGTTGCATCTCTAGTTCATATTTTAACAGCAAATAAATTCCAGGTAGATAAAAAAATTTAAACATAAAAAAATAACCACTAGATGAAAATGCAGGGCATTTAAACCATCTGAAAGAGATAAGGCTTTTCTACCTCTGAAAAGGTAGAACACAGAAGAAAAAAATAAAGACTGATAATTCCACCTGCATTAAAAAAAAAATCTATGAGAAAAAGATACCATTAAAAAAGTAAAAGAAAAATGACAAACTGAGAAACACAGTTTAAACTCATATCACAAATGACCAATTTTTTAAATAAAGACTTTCAACAAATCAATAAGAAAAAGACAACCAACCCAATAGAAAAGTAGGAAAAATATATTAACAGATCATAGAACTGGAAAGAAAATGGTTTTAAAACATATACATTAATAAGAGAAATACAAATTAAAACTATAATGAATAAAAGTTACTTATCAGATTGGTATCTAGTACAATCCATGAAAAACAAAAACACTTAACAGAAAATTATCTCTACCAGAGAGGGCAGCATAACTTTCTGTTAAGTGTTCTTGTTTTGCATGGATAATCAGGATATTTGCAATAGCTTCTGACACCAACTGGCTAAAGCTAAGCCAAACTTCACAGGTTAAGGGTCCAATTCTCCATATGACTGACTGCCCTCACTTCAGAAACTAGCAGCAACTTTGGGCATTCCCAGAGCCATCCTAACTTCTGACCAACTGGCTGCAAGTTCAGGGGTTCCCGCAATGCCTTCAGGTTCGATAATTAGCTAGAACAACTCACAGAACTCAGCAAAGTGTTATGCATACAATTATAGTTTATTATAGCAAAAGGATACAAATCAGAACAGCCAAAAAAAGCTATACATAGAACAAGGTGTAGGAGGATCCCAAACACAAAGTTTCTGTGTCTTTGGGGAAACATCACCCTCCTAGAACATGCAGACTGTTGCCAACCAGGGAAGTTCACTTGAGCATCACTGACCAGAGCTTCTCTCCGGGTTTCACTACAGGCATAACTGATTGACTCAATCACTATATAAGGCTGAACTCAAATCTCAAGCCCCTCCCTCCACCTCAGAGGTTAGGCTAATATCATATGACTCAAAACTCCAACCCTCTAATCCAATGGTTTGTCTTCTGGTGTGGCCAGTGCCTATCTGAGTCATCTTCTAGGCATAATTATCAGAGCTCACTATGAATAACAAGATACTTCTATCACCTAGAAAATCACAAGGATCTAGACCTGGAAGCTGGAGTGGAGGCAGTTTGAGAGGAGGGGAGGAGCCTTGGCAAATTATTGATTACAGTCTTAATTTCAGCCTTGTCTGTATTAGCAAAAGACTGGAAACCAACAACATCCAGTAACAGAACTGATTCTTTAAAAAAAATCAAAATACATCCATATAATGGAGTTCTATGCAATCAGTGAAAAAAATGGGACAATTCTGTAGGTACAGCTACAGAATAAATTGCTGAATGTGCAAAAGTCTGTATGCTATGCTATAATTTGTGTTTCATATATACATATGTTTATACGTGCGTGGGGCCATTTCTAAAGATAACTGGTAACAGAGGTTAGATCCAGGGACAGGAAATGACTGGGAGGACTTTTCTCCACCTTTTTCAACTTTCTGGTTTTTGTACAACGTGCATACATTACCTGTTTAACAAGAAGAAAACATTACAAGGTTTTAGCATACCTCTTTGAGGTTACTAAGCCTAATTTATAACTTAATATTTTCTTGATTACTATCGGTCACTGTCATAAATATATTGAACAATAAAGCTCTTAAGAGTCTACTGAGATACACAGGGCTGCTTTCACCTACACTAAATGACCCCAGGCTGCTGCAATTTGAGTGTTACTGTCATTTCCAGTTTTTCTATCTTTTCCCAGCTGCTTCCGACTACTGTCAACGTTCCCTCCTCTAGCTGACTAGAAACTTCTCTTTTAAATTGGTGTATCTAGTTGTGGCAGGCCAAGAAACAAGACACATGGCCCTATTACAGGACTATGCAAAATAAAGAGAAACTGCTTCTGTGAAAACTTGAGAAATCCTCTTGTAATGGATGTTTTATAACAACTACTTGACTAGTCAAGATTTTTACACAATATCAAGTTCCATACAACTGAACAAGAACAGACAAGGCATTACTGAAGTCACTATGGGCGGTTCTATTATTTAATTGATACTACACTGCTAAGTACAGATTTGAAACTTTTTCAGCATGACCTTCATTCATTCACTCAAAAATGTTTTTGAGCATCTAGTATTCACCAGGGATTGTCCTAGTATTATGCATACAGCAATAAACAAGAGACAAACTCGCTTAAAATTTACATTCTAGAGAGATGACAAAGATAAACCAGCTAAGTACAACAAAGAAGAAAGGGGATAATATGATAGAACTAGGATTGGGGAATAGCATTAGATAGGATGGTATGTTAATCAGGGTCTGACCAGAAAAGAACCACTAGAATCAAACACACATACACACATCTTAATATTCAAAATAAGGGACTTACAGGAATTACAGGAGGCTGTTTCTTTTGTGTTTGTCAGCTGGAAAGGGAAGACATGGGAAATGGGGGAAGCAAGGAACCTGCTAAGATGAGAACCTGTGGGAACAGAGTGGAACTTGTGAGGATGGACTGGAAGCCATACAGGTCTCTTACTGCCTCCAACCCTCCAGTATGAATGAGGGGGTTGTCCAGCGGAAGCTGGCACCCTTTGTCAGAGTAAAATGCACCCCTGACTCAGGAGCCAGAGAAGCTGGAGGAGGCATTCCAACAGGAGCTGGTGTTGCTGTGGGCCTGACGGTTGTCCCACAGGCCAAGATGAGCCAACAGATAAACAATAATGTGGATAAGCTGCAACAGTGCCTTGTGACTTGTTTGGTCCTTCCACTTAAAAAGAGAATTCAGATCTGGCTGCTGCTTTACTTCTGCTTTCTTTATCTTGTATCAAACCTTTCTTATGGCCCACATTGTCCTCAAATTATACATGGAGAGAATTCTGGGGAACACATCTCCAGGTTGACTAACCTGCACCATATAAATCCACCACAGATGGTGTGAGTTCTCTAAAAGACATCATCTGAGCTGAGAACCTGAAGGATGAGGATTCAGCCATGGTAGAGAATGTCCTAGACAGAGAATATGGCTAGTGCCAAGTATCTGAGGCTGGGATATATGTGAGAGAGAGTGGTACAAATTAAGAGATAACCAGATCATATGGGCCTTGCAGAACATGGTAATGAACAAGGACTTTTTCCTAAGTGCAATGAGAGCCAAACGGAGTATTGTTTTGTTTTGTTTTTAAATCAGGGACGTAGTGGTAGTTTGATCTGATTTATATGATTTTAAAACTTTTTGAAATAATTTCAAAGTTACAAAAAAGTTGTAAGATTAGCACAAAGAATTTCTGTATGCTTATCATCCAGATGATTTCCACTTTTAAGAGATTGTTTTGGCTACACTGGGGAGAATGGCCCTAGTGGGCAGAAACACTTCTTTCCTCACCTCCAGGCTTCATGGCACTCCTTACAGCACAATACATATGACCCCCTGGAGCTGGGCAGAAAGCCACCCAAGTGTGGAAGCAGTAATATTACTTAGAGAGCTACTGAAAGAGATCAAGCTGCAGTGCTTCTATCACACTATTTTCAGATCACAGAGGAAAACCAATCTCTTTATTTCACTCTCAGTTCACAAATACATGTTGGAAGAAAAAAACAGTATTACCTCTCCGGATCTGGCTACTTCTGACAATCATATCAATTCTCAAAAACAACCTCATGATTTGGTACCACAGAAGCTATTTAAGAAAATGTTTCACAGACAATTCCAGGTTTCCAATTTCCAAAGAACGTGCAGTCTCCTAGAAGAAACATGTTGAAGGAGCCCAGGTTCATGTCGATAGATAGGTTCTAGTCTCATTATTTTAGAGATGGTCTCAGGTTTGTGTATCTCCTGTGTTCATCAGATGTGACTTACTTTACTGGAGATCATAAACAATTACCCTAAAGCAAGGTCTTCTTCCTTGATTAACGCTCCTGCTGGTAATTCTGACTAAAAGCCAGGTTCAAATACTGAAGTGTGCTGAGGTCTTACAGGTATTCAAGCTCATTTTCTGATTTCAGCATAGTTCCAGGTTTAATGTTCACATCAACAGCGAAAATTATGGATAGCAATTCATTCTCACTAAAACACAGCTAATACGTGTTCATTAAATCATGAAGGTAAAGTGGAAAAACTAGTTTGGTGACCTTAGACAAATCATTTATTCTCTCTTATACTCAGTTAAATGGGAGCTTGGCTATTAGAGATTAATAATAATGAAAGTAAAATGCCTGATGCATCACAGTAGGCACCCATCTCATTATACACACATCAATAAAAATAAACATCTATTTTTTAAGGGAAGAAAAGAAACGTTCATTAATAAAGCTCTGGATAAACCATTCATCTTCTTTTAAAAAAATGTAAAAACACATAAAAAAGCATTATCTGGCAAAATAGAAAATATTTTTATCTTTAGAGTTTGTAGTATACACTTAACTTTCTGTAATCTGCAGTGATGAATCTCAATGTAAACATTCAGAAAAAGAGGGAATACTGTGTCATGACTTATGAACTATAAATTTTGTCCCTGATAACTAGTCAAGAACAATTTTATACGCTTATTAACGACTACTTTCCTCCACTTAACAATGGCTCTTGAATAACAAAATAAACTATCAGCAATTTCAACCATAAATTTAAGAATTAAAGTTCAAAAAACTTGTTTCATAAATGCAAGCAGAGTAATAAATTTCATTTACGTTAAATTCCGTCATTTATGTTCTTTGAATAAAGTAATACAAAGATTCTTCTCTTCCCCTTTTGGCAAGTTCACAAAATTTATGAAAAGGCTTCACCTTTTTCCTTTTTTGCTTAATTAACTGCATCTCAGCTGAACACACACAACAGGCAATAGCTGGGGTTATTAGTGAGACATGATAAAAGAAAAGGTTATGGCCACTCAGACGATCATGTAAACCTAAAACATAACTCAGACTTTCTAGTCTTAACCTGTAGCTCTAATTTACTAAATGATTTACAAAGAACTAATAGAGAAATGATTTAATAAGCAGGTCGAACTTTGTAACTTTGTCATTTTGCAAGTCACAAACCCATATTCTGACCTGAAAATGATGCAGAATACTAGTTATTTCCAATGAGACTAGGTGCAAGGGAAAAACAAAGACAAAGCCATAGATATTTTTTAAGCTGCACTACATTATTTTAGCTATTAAAAGATTTTAACTACCAGATCAGTGCACTGTTTCTTGCTTAAAGTAGATAAAAATATTTTTAAAATAAGCCAGAGTAAAAAGAAAAAGTCCTCAACAGCCTGACAAAGAGCAACGGAATAATTTCCAATCAGTGACTATTAATGGGAACACTTATTTTGTACAGCAAGTATCGACAACCATTTAGCAATTCTTTAATCAGGCACTTGATATTTTTTAGCTAGCATACTCAATACTGGGGCATCACGCACACACAAAAGTATGGCTTTATTACAAAGGATTCAAGATGGCAACTACTTAGAATCCAGTGCCAACACGGATTATAACAAATCCAGTGAGTGTTTTGTTTTTCAATTATTCATAGAAAATTTAATCCTGATTAAGTATCCTTGGGCAGGAATTCATGGGTAGTTGATGACTGAAACCAACATTTATGGGAAATGCTTCTGTTAATTTAATCTGTGTATACGGCTTAATTATGATTGGGGATTCAATGTAAGAGAAATGAATTATATTGGGATTAAAATTTTAGTACTGTATCACATAGTACCTTTTCCCTCCTCTCTTTTTAAACACATAAACCTGCTTGTCCCTTCACCTAAGTGCCCAGATTTTAAAATCCTTTGTCCTTACAACCCATGTAATGTATTTAAGTTTTATTTTTTCATAAACTGTCGAAAACCTTTGCTAATCAAGCTAAGACCTGAACTAGAGCCAAAAATGGCAGAAAAAAATGGAGAATAACTCCACCCCCATATAAACAAAAGCCTATTCATTTAACTGTGAACATATTTTATATTCATCTCCTGAAGTAATTTCAATTCCTTTAAATTCAAATATGAAATGTATTTTCCTTAAAGCATAAAAAGCAGCACTTTTTAAAATCAGGGTATTACACTGATTTCATAACTGGACTAGTTTAGATATGTATAAGCAAGTAATCATTTAACTGATTACTTTTTGTAAGACTATTAAACCTGAGTTAGCTATTAAGATGAGGCATTATAAGTGGTGAATATTTTACCAAAATATCATATAGTTATTTTTCACATTTATTTCCATATAGAAATTGCTTCAATCATTTTATAACAACACTTTCTTCAAAGTCTGTTTAAGTACATTTCAGAACATTTCATTTATTACCTTTTTTTTCAGTTTTGGTACTGCTTAAATGCAGTTATATAAATAACATGCTCTGCTTTCGCTTTTCAAGTTTTCACACCAAATGTATGACAAAAAGTCACTGTATTTGGATCCTTATTGCACTCAAAATTTTAACCAATTCACTTTTCCTCTCAACAAAAATCAAGTATCAGAAATGAGGGCGACTTTTGTGTCCAGATGATATGGTCAGTGGTAGTGTTACTGAGGAAAGGGAAGAAACTTCCCAGTATAGACTGTGAGATAGAAAGAGTCTGTAGAGAATAACCATGGAAACGGACTGGCAAAGGATAACGCCTATTGTAACAACCTGAAAAGAAAAGGAAAGAAATGCTTTTATTGCATGCAGAAACAGAGAAATAATATTCAATTTATCATGAATCTATATAAACTTTTTATATAAATGCAATACTCTATCCTTCATCTTTACCATAGATACATTTTATCAAAAAAGTTTTCTGACTAATGCTCATAACTCTTATTGTTTAAGCATAAAAATCCCTTTAACGCTTAATTCATAGATAACAAGGTAAGGCACAAAAGAATAACTTGCTAAACCATTTGCTCCTAAGGGTGAGCACTACAAACAAGAGTTTCAGTAAATAAGAAAAATCAGGTTCCTAGCTAATTTATTAGTAGGAATAAAGCATGCTCCTACCTAAACTTTAAAGAGTACTCTAAAAGCCCTTTCAAAAATTCTCAAGTTGCTTCTCTATTTTTGTAGACTACTGTCCTGTCTATTCACTCTTTGTAAATACCTCAGGCTCAATAAACATTTGTGCATTCAAACATATACTGCATTGCTTGTAAAAGGTGTCCTGGCAGACTTCTATTTTGAAATGATGGAGCCATTCACCTAAGAAGGTAGGTATCAGCACAACCAAAATTCGTCATACTTGAGGAAGGCACTCTTGTTTGTAGTCTCTTAAAGCAACTGGATAAAACAAAATTTCTATTTTAAAATTCTCTATTTCAATTTCTAAAATGAGCTGAAATAGAATCAAGAAAAGCTATTTCCACCATTTGGCTTATAAGTATTTAAAAAATATTTTAAACTTCTAATTTATATACTTACTGGTTTACTATTTTGTTTCAAAGTTTTAAACAACACAGAAAACGTCTAAAAAATACATAGCTTCCTCCTATTCAAATATTCTCCCAATTAAGACTATATTTTCATTAAAAACTACTTTGATCATGTATATTCCTTACCTTGTCCCTTTGGTAGTCACTAAAAATGACAGAAATGCATGCAAGAACTGGATGGCATAAAAACCACAAGATACAGCCCTGAAACAAATGAAAAAGTGAAATAAGTACATGTATGTATTTTATTTTTTTCAGAATGTACCAGATAAAAAAATGTGACTAGCATATTTAGGTCCTGATTAACCTCAACAGGCCTTTAGAGTAGAGCTTGCAAAAAAATGTAGAAATAAATTTACTGCTGCTGTGACATTTTTTGTTTCTAACCAAATGAGTATTTTTGGAGTATTTATAATCTTATGTTTATAAATCTGTTGCATACACATTTTGATACACTACAAATATATTAATATAAGTAACAAATTATGAAGTGACAAAAGCAAGGCACAAGTGTGTAATATTCCTGTAAATAGAAAAAAGAATGTAAATTCATATTTGCATGCTGATACACAAAGAAATCCTGTAATAATACGTAAAAAACACTAATAGTGGTTACTTGTTTGAGGAGTACAACAGAGGAAGGGGAAGGGAACTGGGCAGGTAAGAATGGGTAACTGCTCACATTACACTTTTCAAATATTTTTCTATTTTTCCTTAAACCATGGCAATGTATTCTCTTTTCCAAACTTAAATTTGAAAAAAAAAAAAAAAAAAAGAAGTTAATAAATAGTAACTGTTGAAATGTTTGGTACATTGAAGATATAGGGAGAAAGATATAGAAAAATGTTTAGTATGTTACTATTTGTAACATACATTTGTATATTACATTTGTAACATAGGCATATATACTTAAAACTCTCCAGAAAGATAAATTAAGAACTACTAGCAGCAACTGTATGAGGAGGTGAGAATAACTTGCTGCTACTCCTTAAATACTTTTGGATGTTTGACCCTATTCAGGAAGTTAAAGTGAAATATAAAATACTTTAAGTTGAAGAAAAAGTTTGCACTGCTTTAAACATAAAGCAGAATAAGAAAACATAGTGCCTAAACACCTCAAATACATATTATCAAACAATAAGCACTACTGTGCCGGTGAAAAACTCAAAGGCAGCATGGCATCTTCTTGTCTGGTGCTCAGAGGCCTGAAGTTGGTTCCTAGGACTGTAGCAGCAGCTTTGTAACACTCAACACTAGGAATAAAGCAGGAATTTGGCTCTTCTTCCATAGCTGCCTCAGAGTAATGGTCAATGACTCTGGACAAGGTGGGCTCACTGAACAGAATCAGTCTGATCAGAATGCTGGTTTGAGGTGCTAAAATGAAGGGGTATGGATTCTCTCAATCTGACAGAAAAATGAAATCTTTTAGGGAGGGAGGCTTCTATAATGTTACTGCTCTAACCCTCCTAATCTCTTCTGTTACTAAACAGGTATAGAAAAAAACTGAACTTGCTTTTAGATCTCACTAGCATAAGAAGGACAAGAAAGAAGGAGTAAAGTGACATGACCTCATGTGGATGGAGTGAGGTGGCTGAAACACATGGCCTCAGCCTCCTGGCTCCATCTGCTTATGCTGAAGGGCAGCTCCTAATAGTCTGTTAGAAAACATTGCATAACTCTGAGAAAAACAGTTTATAGTCAATTTAAACGGTTAAGAAATCCAAACCACATCTGAATTTATTTTAGATATTTAAAATTGATATTACAGAAAAAAATATAAAATCCCTACTGATAAAGAAGCTATGAACCAAGTAAAACTGACCTGCCAAAGGGTATATGGAAAATATTGTTTCACAGGTCTTGTAAAATGGGGATTATATCTGTATCACGAAAGTTGCTAAGGTTAAATGAGGTGAACCATATAAAGAACTTAAGGTAGCATCTGACTGTCACATAACAGAATTTTTTTTTCCTTTTTTTTTAAACAAGGTCTCGCCTGTCACCCAGGCTGGAGTGCAGTAGTGCAATCTTGGCTCACTGAAGCCTTCAACTCCCAGGTTCAAGGGATCCTCCCACCTCAGCCTCTCAAGTAGCTGAGACAACAGGTGCTCACCACAAAGCCCGGCTAATTTTCTGTAGAGATGGGGTCTCACTATGTTGCCTAAGGTGGTTTCCAACTTGGGGGCTCAAGAGTTCCACTTGTCTTGGCCTCCCAATGCACTGGGATTACAGGCGTGAGCCACTGTGCCTGGCCCAGAAGTTTAATAAAAGTTAGCATGTGGTTGTTTAGCAACTTCCCAAAGAAACCAGAATAAAGTAGGATAATCGGAAGAAACCATTTTCTTTCCAAACCCATACTTTGGCGAATGTGATGTAGAACTCCCTTTTGAGCGTACTTCTCTCCACTGTGATGATCTGATAGAGTCCACAGCCTAATGACAATGCTAGGCAAATTCTTAGAATGATTAGGAGGATCCCTGCTAAGTTGTGGTGTGAATGGTAGCTATGATGACTGGTATCTTCAAACTGTTCCCAAAGTAGCAAAATACTCTGGAAAAAAAAAATTACATTTAGAAAAGAAAAAAACATACCTAATTACAATGAAGTACTTTTTTTCAACTCTTTGATAAACATCCCTTGAAATATTATATAAACATTTCTATCAGACCATAGAGGTTAATTAATAAAGTACAGTCTTTTCATCACTCTAATACCTAAGCTAGTCAAAATGAATTTTTATCAAGTGAGACCATAGTTAAAAGATTTTTTAAAAATTCAATTGCTGTCATGATTCAAATAAGTTATCTCTAAGAATGAAAATGAGCTGAAAAAGTTAAAAGAACAAACTTTCTTCTAAATCCATTTCCTTCTTACTTCAACATCATCATTGAATGTAAACCGCTGTGCATTCAAACTGGCTATCTCAGGGTAACTTTCAAATATTTCAGTGTTTTTTGTATAATTCAGAAATTAAAAAGTCAGAATTTTTTATTTCAGACTTTATTAGTTTTCACAGTAACCTCCCTTGGTAAAGGACAACATATTTTTAATATTCACTATAAATCCTCAGGGCACTGTTACTCACCACTTTTTATTGACCTTCTTTTCTCCCATATTGCTAACAGTAAAAGCTCAGCTAGTTCCTCATTAAGCTATTCTGTTTATTACTATTCAATAGAAATCAGCGTCTATGTTCCCTCCATCTTTACTAAACATCAATCACTTAACTTACTTTAATGTTTTAACCATTACGACACATATCTGTAGCTCTCTGCACTTCTTTCCTTTGTCAATTCAGCTCTCAGAATTGAGTCTTCGGTGACTTCCAAGAACTTTTGGAAGAGATCAAAACTCAGTATTAAATCCAATTATTAGGTTTTATGGGGTTTACCAGCAACTTCTTCCTTTCCTCATTCTCACATCCTCTACCCTAATTTTAATCCTGATACCATTCTTGTTAGGTAAACTCCTTTGTCACTATGACATGTGAAATTCCTTCTTGGGCTCAATATTTGCTCTGTTACTGAAAGTTTTATTCCTCCAAACCACCAAATTATACCCATCTGATTTTTCTTTTTTTTTTTTTTCTGAGACAAAGTCTTACTTTGTTGCCCCGGCTGGAGTGCAGTGGCACAATCTCAGCTCACTGCAACCTCTACCTTCCAAGTTCAAGTGATTCTCCTGCCTCAGCCTCCCGAGTAGCTGAGATTACAGGCACGAGCCACCAGGCCTGGCTAATTATTGTATTTTTAGTAGAGATGGGGTTTCACCATGTTGGCCAGGCTGGTCTTGAACTCCTGACCTCAGGTGACCTGCCCACCTCAATCTCCCAAAGGGCTGGGATTATGGGCATGAGCCACTGTGCCAGGCCTCCCATCTGATTTCTTAACCTACATTTCTAAACTTTACTTTTGCAACACAGAAGTGCTACTAGAGAGCTACCATAGCCCATGGTTCATATTTTTACATATTTAAACTTCCCTGTTTTCATATACATATGCTAATATGTGATCTGTATAAAATATGCATGTATTTATATAGTCTCTGCCTGACTGATCTGCCTTGTCTGGGTTGTTGTTGAAGATCAAAGCTATGCTTAATGTATTCTTCATAAATGCTCACATAAACTCTAGTATAATATCATCTCAATTATCGATTCATATTTGTCTGACAGTAAATTAAAATTACAATGATAAAAATAAAATTTTTAAAAAGAAATGGAAAGTGAGAATTTACCCTGACATTGACACTACTCTCCGTAAATCCCGGCTCAAAAACATTAAGTTGGTAGAATCTTAACCTTATTTTAATCAATGCTACTAATTCAATTATGTCTCATCAGCCCCTTTACTGGCACTACCTCCTTTCTAAATATCACCAACTGTGATATGGTCTCTTTCTCAAATGACTCATGTAAATTCAATACTGCTATTCCACTCAAAACCTACTGTACTAAATAAATACTAGGGATAGAAAGATGAATAAAGTACTGGTCCATCCTTCATTAATATATTTTTTCAACTTATTTAATGCATTAAACTTACATTATGATGCCCCTTTACAGAGCCCAAGTATATATTTCATTTTCACCTATAGCTAATGGTCATCAAAAACTCAGTATAAATTTTTATCTTCAAACCTTTCTTCTTAGTTTTTACAAATCCATTGAACATAGGCATATGGATATCCTAGCATGTCAGTACTATCAATACAGAGGAAAAGAAAAAAAGGCATACAGGACCTTCGTAAAAGATTGGTTTTGTTTTTGTATTTGTTTTCACACATGCTTTCAAAAACAAGATCTCATTCTTTTTTAGTCTATATTTTGCCTTTTAATTAATCTTAGCTAATCACCTGAATTCTTTTATGTACAAAGTAGCCAATCCTAAAGATTCTTGACAATGGATAAATCTCAAATTCATTGAATCACTCATTCAATGTTAAGTACTTATCATGTGCTAGAGAAATATGAAAGAAAGCCGTTATTAAGTAGGAAATAAGACTCCAACCTAGTATTAAACATACTGTGCTTAAATAAGCTGATAGGAAGCTCAAATTCAGGTAAATTATAATTAAATTCTGCAATCTACATATAGTAACACCCAGATGATTAAGCTTATTTGATCTATCACTCTTTAAATTCATACTTTAAAATGACACAAATTCCTCATGAGTCCCAGGTTTCAATTTTGAAATGAGGTATGCTCAAGTTTGCATTTCTGAGGATAAATAAGCAGAAACACTGAGTATCAACACTCACCTGTGTCATGACAATGAATACTGCAATTCCAGTGGACGCAGGAGTAGAATCCCACTGAAGAGGTCTGCTTTGAGACTTCTTCATTCTGACTATTGTCCAACCCATGCATAGACTCAAAAGTAGGTATGACATCTGAATTTGGGAAGCGATGTCAAAAACTAATGGGACATGAAAACCAACGTCAGCCAAGTTTTCACAATATAAAAAATTTAGTACTTGCGTGTAATAATTCTAAAGAATTAAAAATTGCCATACATTTTGTATACATTTACGAGAATAGTTAGCAGCAATACTATTTAAAAATACATATATATTTGGCAGCTATCCAGCATCAAAGAAAAAATAAAAAATAAAAATACATATATAAGCCCATACCATGTCTATTAAGTCAACCTTAACTCTCATTGTTTTCCATTTTTCTTAGCTTTTCTAACTACATAATCCTGTTCTCTATAACTCATTGCTTATTAAAACAAAAAATTCTAAATATGATTTCTGCAATGTGGAGAACATAAGTACCTTCATTTCTGGGTTAACTTTTTTTTTTGATGGGTGAATGATAATGTGAAGAGTGTTTTCTAAAACTATTAACAAGAAACAACACAACGAAATGCAAAGTTCCCATAACATCCAAACACTGGCTTTCCTTTCAGAATCCTGAAGACAAATGAAAAGCTCCATGCATTAGTGTGATGTGCCACCAGGTGGCCATCACCTACACTGCAGGGGAAGCATGTCGCTTCAAACAGAAAAGATGCACCCAAACCACCTGTATCCAGGTCAACACTACAAGAAAACAACAAAAATCCATAAATGCTTCAAGTTTCATATATACTTATTTTATGAGGTAGTATTTAATGCTTTTTAAGAAAGCTTATCACTTTTCTTCACAGAGTATCTTGATGTGAGTTTTAGGCTTTGGGTCAGAAATAGAAGAGTCAGTATAACAGAGAATGGGATTTTAATAGGAAGAAAACCTTCAGCTTTGAGGTAAGAAAATGTGGGTCTGAGTCTAGTCTCTACCACTAAATAACTGATGGACAATTGGAAATATGTTTCATATCACTGAGCCCAAATCCTTTATCTGCAAAATAAGGCTATGCAGACCTACTTTTCTACTGAGGATAAGGTGAGAGAATATATATAAATATGCCTAAAACTAACGAAGAGGCAAAGTGTGGAGACTCATGTAATTCCAGGACTTTGGGAGGCCAGGGCAGGTGGATCCCTTGAGCCCAAGAGTATGAGACCAGCCTGGACAACACAGTAAGACCCTCATCTACAGAAAAAGAAATTTAAAAATTAGCCAGGCATGGTGGTATGTGCCTATGGTCCCAGCTACTGGGGAGGCTGAGGCAGGAGAGATCACCTGAGCCTAGGAGCACTGCACTCCAGCCTGGGCTACAGGGTAAGATCCTGTCTCAAACAAACAAAAAACAATGAGGAGCTGTACATATTACCTACTATTAAGAAGAAACTAAGTAGGACATATGGAAATTTAAACTGTAATCCTGTTCTCAGTCAATCTGGTTTCTAATCAATCTTCAACAGAAAATTTATACTATCACAAAAAAATTTTAAAAACCAAGCAGATAGCAAGTGTATGCTTTTAAAAAAAATGTTCAGAAAGATACTCACATTCTGCCAAACTTCCCATAAATGGTACCCCTATTCCATCTCTGGAGTAACTGAGGAATTGAAGAAGATTAGCATAAATTACAAATGTGAAAAAAATTGTTCACAATCAAAGCAAGCATAATTTTGGTGGACTAATTAGGATTAATTAGATGTAATGATGAACACAGTTTTAGTGGTTTTGAGTTACCTGGAGAAATGAATGTAATTAGCTAAAGCTGAACCAGCTTGTAACAGCAATGCAGTTGTCAGAACCTTTAAAATCATGTGCATGGGTCCTCCTTTCTTAATAGCCTGCCACAATGCAGCACAAATGCAAGCAATCACAAAGTACACTAGGACTAGGAGGAAAAAGAACTCATGTAACCCTGTGAAGAGAAGAAAGGGAGTTTGCTTCAGTAAAACAAAGCCAGTTATCATATTGGGTTGCTTTCAAATCTCCCTGTCAATATATTTCTAGAACTTGTTTTATAACTGGAGTCATCGCATTTTTTAACTGGAGTCATAGCATTCACCTTTGTAAGAGAAAAAAAATTATTAAAACTTAAACAATGTTGTACCTTGGGGCAAAATTTTAACTACAAGAAAGCAGATGAAACCAAACTAGTTAAGGTCAATCTGTAAGAAAGCATAATGGTCAGGGAAACCCAAAGACCACTCATAAAATCACAGTTTTGTTTGAAAACAGTAAATGAAAATAATGATTTCAGCATTCAGTTAGGTATACAGTTTACCCCCCAAATGAATTTCTTTTGTAAAAAGTTTAGAAATAGATTAGTTCACAGTCAATAATAGTTTAATATACCCTGACAATGCTTCTCAAAGTGTGTTCTCTTGCCCAGCGGCATCACCAGGGAACTTGTTATAAATGCAAATTCTTGAGTTCCATCCAGTTTTTGATCTATTGAATCAGAGACTCTGAGTACAGCCCAGTAATTTGTGCTTTAGTAAGCCCTAAGGGTGATTCTGATATAGCTAACATGTGAGGACCACAGTTCTAGAATGTCCCAGTACCTTGAATTTCCATTTGGACAAATCTTCAAAATACCTGTCATGTCCAGAGACCCCTTCTGAGATAAACTGTCTGCAGCTCTAGCCAAAATAGAAACAATAACAAAAACCCGCACTAAGGAGATCACATGACTGAAAATTGTCAACACCTAACCAAATGGCTACCAATGCAAGAGGCCAGCAACATAACAATTCTGCAAGCTAAGTTAAGCTAATCACTTCTCTTAGTACATCAAACTATAAAACGGAAATGAAAGAGGCCATAGAAATTGAAGCTGAAAGGAGCTGAGAGCTGATGTCAGGACAGGCCAGAGAAGCCAAATGAGCCATGATAAAAATCAAAGTTCTGAGGGAGTAGAAATTACAAGTGAGGAAAGAGAGATGGCTGGCAAAGAACAAAGAATGTGCAGACTTTATATTAAAAATGGAACCAGTCATTACAGCAGCCTCTAGTCCCTGCTAGCAGCTTTTTAGTCCAGTTTTCATGTAACCTCAAGATAAATGTCACTTCTTCTGTTAACTTGAAACCTTTTGACTGAGTCTCCATTTTTCAGAAATTTCAGAAAATTTTTATACTGAAGCAGCAGGCTAGCTTTGAGTTTAATGGCTAACACTGACTTGGTTACATGTGAAGCCAGTCCCTAATATTAAGGTTTTTACTTTCTATCTAACACCAAACTGCTCTAACAGTGGTATGAATAGAGCCGTCTTGAGTCTGTGGATGAACTTTCATTCCAATTGCGAACACAAAGCCTACTCTAGTTTCCCATTTGGGTAAACTCCAATTAACAGTCAGATAATAAAATATTTCTATTATGTGGAAAATAATTTCGGAAAAGCAATCAGAAGACACAAATCACAACAATCAATCAATAGTTCAATCATGTTTTGGCCTGGTTGGGGGGAAAAAAGCAGTAGAAAATATTTCTGCCACTGGGTGTCTCTCCTGCTCTACGAATATAAATGTGGACAGTTAACTTTTCTAGTGCAGGTGAAAGAGCATGTTTAGACTTCAGGAAGTGAAGATCAAGTAAAAGAAAGAACATATTTTCTTTATAAACTCCTTACATAGAAAAGCACTCCAGCCTTAGAAATGATGACAACATAATCCTCGGATTACTATAGTAATGAAACAAGACAGAAAATACAAATGCTAAATATAATGTAACTGTGGGTGAGCAAAGTTCCTTATGCTATCCTGTGTTTCAAACCTTAGTTTTTATCTTTCCTTCTTAGTGTTAAAGAAATAAACATGGCATTCAATTTAAAGTTCTATTTATTTATAATATTTTACAGAATATTTTATAAGACAAAATTTCTGACTTATAGGATAAAGTTTCTGACATTAAGTTACAATTCTGAAAATCCTCAGACTATGTACTAAGGAATCAGAACAATGTAGAAGGAAAGGATTCTGGAAAATAAGATGAATGTCACAAGCAAAAAAGTGTTTTAGGATTATTCAAAGTTAATCTTCCAGAAAAAGCTAACATTATAACCAACGTAAAAATTATTTCATTGACATATTAAATAAATTGAACTGGGACATGTCCCACACTTTATTCACTGAATTTTAGATGATTCTTACCTTTAACCTGTTCATAAAATGCTAAAAAGATAAAATGCTAGCTCTGTACTCAATGATCTTTTAAACAAGTCATCTCTTAAAAAAGTCTATTTTTTCGATCATCAGCTACCAACTTTATTTGCCACAAGCAAAAATTGTTCACTTTGAAATTAAACTCACTTTGTGTTCACTTTGTTTTGCTTTTGTTCACTTTGAAATTAAAGTCTAATTTTAAAACAGGTGGTTAAATTAACTAATTGTTAACTAAATGAACAATTAATTGTTAAATCTTATATTTAAGACAATATACACCGAAAAAATATACAGTGAAGAAGAAAAATACTCTTAATGAGCATACAACAGGTGGTGAACACTTGTAAGAAAATGTGTAAGGTTCAAGCTTAAAGGAAGCAGCATTGGCAAAATAAAGTAGCAAGAAAACTCAGTGGACAGCTTCGGTAAATTCAGTCCCAGCTAAACGATGGTAAATGAGAAAGGAGGAGAGGGTGAGAGGAAAGAGTCCTTGGGTTCCCGGATAGCACCTGGAACAGACATTCCCGCCTACCTTATCTCAGAGCCCCAGTGGTCCCCCACACTCAAGTGTCTCAAGATACATCCTGATTAGTCTAAATCAATCGGAAATTCTCATACCCTTGCCAGTAGGAGGTAAACCTAACCCTTTTGACAGATTTGTCTACTTTTATCTTCTTTCTTCCATGTCAACTTACATTTCTCTTATGATGCTATGACCCAGATCTGAAAAAGGAAATGTGATAGGAAGCTTCTGGGAAAGATTTGCTTCCTCCCCAAGAGATACTGAATTTTGCCATCATCTAAACATGATGCTCAGAACTGCCAAGGCTAACTTTGAACTTGAGGAAGCTAGCTTAAGAACAACATTAATAGTCTGAGGATAGCAGGGTAGAGAGATGCTAAATAAACCACCCTGCAGAAGCCTCAAAACTTCTTGCGGTGTAAGACAATTCATTTCATTACTGTCTACACCACTTGCATTAGGGTTCTCTGTTACTTTAAGCCAAAAACATTCAAACCTGTTACCAGGAACATATTACTGAAGCTAAATGGAAGCTCCAACCCACTGTCTTTTGGGGCATGGAGGGTAAAAGGGATAGCACTAAAGAATAAACACAGTTCCTTTTGATTTGGGTAGTGAAAGTTAAAGAAAAAGAAAAAAATAATGAACATAGCTGCTGGAATCTTAAAAACAGTGAGATGGCAGATGTAGCAGAGCCTGTAATATTCCAGTGAAAAGCAGTCTACATGTCTTTAGGTAATAACGCTCTCAGGATTCTAGGTACTTCTTGGTCTCTAACTTGAGTACAACCATAGTTAACAAGGATTCTAATCTTTTAAAGAGGCAGTTTTATTTTACCTTAAAGTATTATAATTCTATTTAGTACTTTGTCAAGTGGCATCACACTTGCCTTACTTTGTTTAATCTAGACCAACTCTGTAAAATAGAGGATTAACCAAAGTCTGGTAGATATAAAATACACAATTGGTTTGAAAGAAAACAAATTACAAAATTTAACCAGAATAACATGTAACATTAATTGCAGCTATTTGCACCAGGTTATTCTAATTCAAACCTCTGAGACGTGGTAACAGTCAATTCTCTGTAAAAAGCATAGCAAATCAATTTTTCCTACTTGGAGCAGATAATTAGACAAACTAGCAGAAGTTTCTAAAATGAATTGAAGATTTCCCCTGTAAACAAATGCCATACCTGAGGCTACAGAGTAGAAAGAATCCCTCAAGGCTCTATTTTAGAACACACTACTATAACGATGTGAAATATGGACTTTTAGATCAGTGTTCTGTACGTACGAATCAGCTTTAAAGCTTTCATTAGCTGGCTTCCACTCCAAACCAAATCTATCTTGAGTCTCTGGGTGTGAACATCTGAATTTTTGTTTTAAACCTCATAACCTTAAACTAGATGTGACAAATTTACGCTCTGAACTAAACAATCGGTTTAAGCTAAAGTGGCCTCACTCCCGCCTCACCTCCACCCACCCCATTCTATGGCCAGTGGGATACAATGGAATTAAATTTTTCTCTTGAGTAGATTGACTCTTTCAAACAGTCAATGAACTCAGGAAGAGGTAAACCCTTAACCCTTTTTTTTTGACAGATGGCCTACAAATCCTTATTCCAACATGTTCATTTACAAATCAGTTATACTTCATAGCATGCTTATCATGATCATAAGAAGTCATTCACTTCTGCTGGGGCTAGGAATCTTACTTCAGTAGGAAAGGACAGTCATCCAACATTTTGATGAAATATTTTACATGAGTAAATGATTCTGGGAAGTATTATAGACTCCGATCATTCCTGAATTGTTGTAAGCTTCAATGAAGGCAATCCCTAAATTTGTTCAAACAACCTAGTAAAGAGTTAACCATACAACGTAGTTCAGTTTCTAATCTCATTTAATCATTGAGTTATCAATTTAAATTGTTCAATTTATTACCATTTTTCTGTTTACAAAAATAATGCAAGGTTATCATAAAAACAAAAATATTTAGAATATATAGAAGAAACTAAAAACTACACAACTTGTTTCCTGCTAGGAGCCAAAACAAACAAGCAAACAAACAAACAAAACTATACAACTCTATCCACCCAGAGTATCAAAACAATCTGTTAATATTTTTGTACTTCTGTTTTATTCTATGCAGGTTTTAATACACTCGAATAATACTCTGCTTTTAAAAACTAATATTATGGCTATCAAAATGCTGTAAGATTCATTTAACCACTTCTCTACTTTTGCACATATAGGTTGCTTTCATTATTTTAAAAATACAACATGAATATGTTTGTGCATAAATCATCTCCTAAATTTACGATATAGTCAAATACATATTCTTACCGGATTCTCCAGCACTAAAATGATCAAATGGATTCCCTTCAGCATCTGTGTTTAGTAACACCATTTCAAATGGGATATCTTCCACCTGAGAGTTCTCCTTGTCATCTTGGCATGTATACTTGTCTGCATAAAACACATGCCACGTTTGCGGAGATGGAATCTGGGACACTGTCAGATTATGTTCAGTCTGGTTCATGGTCACTTTAAAGAGAAAGAAAACAACACCTATCATAACAAAACTCTCAAATGTGCTGTTTGAGTCATATAACCAATTTGAGGTTAGGACAATCTTTGGTTTAGTTTTTACTGCCTCAGAAATCCAAGACCTTGTGTAGTATTTGGAATCAGTCTTAAAAATCAGATATTTATGGAATAAATCAGAATTTATCTGCAAAGGAGATAAAAATGATGTTTTTTGCTAAGGAATCACTATAAAAGTAAGACTATAAAGCACAAGTGAGTAGAATGGCTTCACTGAAACTTTGAAATTTTGTTTTGCTTTGTTTTCACATTTTTATTGGGAGCCATGGGAGGGGCCGCCTGTCACTGGAAGTGCTCACAGTTTCTTCAGCCACTCCAAGCTGGAGCCCTGGGGGTCCTGGGGGTGGCCGGGCATGCTGGGCATGTTCCCATCATCGTGACAGGCACTGTTAGTTGTAGGTCGAGGCCTCACTGATCATGATGGAGTACTTGGTGTAGGGGCTAAGTGGCAGCAGAATTATAGCGAGGCTCCCAATGACGAAGCACACGACCAGCACTGGCTCCTTGGCCCAGGCATTCTTGAGGAAGGTGCCGAACCTTGGGGCCATCCTGGTCTCGGCAGGCAAAACTTTGAATTTTAATTTTCAATATTTTCAAAGTTTCCAAGTGGGTTAATGACATTCAAAAAAATTATTGTGGTAAACTATACACAAAACTATACAACTCTTACCACCCAGAGTATCAAAACAATCTGTTGATATTTTTGTACTTCTTTCTAAATGTACCATTTTAACCATTTTTAAGTATTGTCTATGGCATTAAGAACATTCACAAAGCTATGCAACAATCACAGTGACATTTTTGAAAATTACTTGAGTTAAATTTTAAATGGGGCATTCAACTTAGGAAATCATTATATCTAAAAACTATGGCTAATATTTTCAAAAGATTTTCTAAAATCTTTTGAAGTAGTATGATATAGTCAGGGGTGGGGGTGTGTGACATCATTCAGATGTATGTTTGAATCCTGGCTTCAATACTTAACTGTTATGTGACCTTGGGTAAGTTACATAAACAATGACCCTTACTTTCTTCATCTGTAAATGAAGATACTACCTACAGCAAAGACTTGATATAAGGACTAAGTTATATGTCACCTAGCATGGTATCTGTCACAGCGTAGTTGCTAAATGTCAATTCTGCTTTTCCTTTCTTTAAAACAATGTAGTTATGCTAATAAATGATTCTCAATCCAGGGTAATCTCCTTCCCTCCAGGGCATTTGAAAATGTGAGGGGACAATTTTTTGTCACATTAGCTGGTTATACTTGGAGGGGGGCTGTGTTCAACCTCATGGAAAGAATTATTCCCCCTAAAATGCCAACGGCACTCCCTTCTGAGAAACACAAAATGACATCGAAGATTCCTTCTGGATCTAAAACTATTAGGTTGGTGCAAAAGTAATTGTGGTTTCTGAATATAACCTAACCTAAGAGGCACTGACCAACACTAACACAAAGCTGCCTAGAGGAGGAGCGTCTCAAGTTTTGAGTATAACAAAGAGTAGTACAGTTAGAAGGGCAAGTCTTGGCCTTGTGACTCAGCAAATAAATGACCAAATAAATAACCTCTCTAAATGTGTTTCTTCAATAGTAAAATAAAGATATTTGCCCTGTCTAGCTCAGAATTTGTGTGAGGGTCAAATGAAAAGTACATGGAATGTTAGGTAAAAAGCACGATTCTAAACAAAGTATTTTTAAAACAGTATTATGACGGCTCTAATCCGCAACTCCAGGTTGCCCCCATAACATGTCAATATTTAAGGACAAATTAGTCTTAATCTTTTTATCAATTGTAGAAAAAATTTTAAAATAAATAAAAGACATTTCTTGAGGTAACCAGAAATTTATGTATGGAATAGACTTCAGAGGACATTATAAAATTATTCATTTTCTTAGGGTATGACAGTTAAACAGATGAATGTCCTTATTCTTAGGAGATGTATGCTTAGGCATGGAGGGGCAAACTGTTCGTGATACCTGCTACTTATTTTCATATGGTTCAATTAAAACAAAAATCACATACATATAAACATAAAGCAAATTTAACAAAATATTAATAATTATTCAGTCTAACCAGAGGATATACAGATGCTGATTGTACTATAATTTCAACTCCTCTGTATGTTGGGAAGTTTTCCTAGTAGAAAGTTGGGAAAATGTTATTTATAGATTGTCTTTATGAATGAGATACAGATGTAGTTAGGATTGAATTGTGAGGACTTGGACAGTACAAATGGGAATTTCCTTCATTGGTAGTTAAATTGGACAGGAGGATTTGATTAATACAACCATAGCATTGCTTTTTTGTCTACTGTAAGTTAGTTGACATTTAAACTACTTTTTTTTTTAACCATACAGCTTCTGGAAAAATGTAGCAAAGACTCTAGTTTCTGTTAAATATTTGAAGTCTTTTAATAAGAATTTAATATATGTTTAATAAATGATTCAGAAAAAAGACTGTTTAAATGTGCAATTTGCAATTATATAATCCAGACATCATTATATAAAGGCTCTGCTGTGTCACTGTTTTTATCATTTGTACTTTTTCTCTTAGATAAAATAATATAAAAAAACCACACTTCTACCAATATACTTTTGATGTTTCATTTTAAATTACGTACGTGGATTTACTTCAAACAGAAATAAAAGTGTGCTTCATAAAGTGATACCAGCCTTTAGTTTTTGTCTTGCTCTCTTTTCAGCAAGCCTGGGAAACAAGCCTCTTGACAAAACTGTGTGTTCATTGTTTCTGAGACAAAAGACTACAGCACAGCATGCATATTCTATGCTGGTGTAATTAGTACCTCAAATATTAACAAAACTTGAACTGCAGAGAATGGTGTTGAATAGCTAATTGTCCAATCATATTATAAAAGGAAATGAATACTGCTAACCAAAACACACACTAAAATACTAACACCTTTAAATGATTTTAAAAATATACCAAACTACAAAAGGAATCATATGCATAACATGTAAAAAGAACACTGAAATGTTTTATATACAATATTATATTTAGCTCCTGTAATCTGATAGAAAATTCCTCTGAATCTCCATGTTAGATTTTAGATAGAAATATATAAACTCATCATTTTCAGTGCTTTTAAATGCCTTGTTGGCTTGCTTTAAAAATCTACAAAATAGTTTTTAGTATTTTTTAAGTCAGATTTTTATGACAGAACAAAGAGATGACTGAAAAATAATTTCTCAAACATTAATTTGGGAGAGTCAAGCAACATTCACCAGTGAGATTTTTAAAATCTGCTGGTCTTTTCATAGGACACAGCAGCAGCAGGGTTTTACGTAGGAGCTGGACATAGTCACCGAGCTCACTACCAAATAGGTGAAAGGCTATTAAGTCTTATTAACAACTAGGAAAAGCACTTGCTATAAGGAATTATTCTTAAATATGTGTTACTATTACATAGTCATTTATTTAAAGATATGCCTTTTGTTTAAATGTATCTAAGCTCCCAGATAACATATTATAAATGTGACAACTAATATATAAAAGTTAGAGACTTAAGATTTGGATTTTGTTATTGGAAAAAAAAAAACTGGTGAAATATATAGAATATATATAGAAATCAGTACTAAATTTATTTTAGGCTCCGAAATTTGACAAAAAAACCTTCACTAATCCCAAATTCCTGTTTCCTGATATCTTTCATTCCACAATTTTAAAAAATACCTCCGCACTCAACAGAACATAGAAAAGAATGAGAAAATAGAAAAAGAAACAATAGCAGAAGGTTTTGTTAAGTTGTAGTCCTACACATAATTAACTCCATGCTTAAGAGTTAGAATAAGAATGGCAGTATTATGCAACTATCATGAACCTTAGGGAAACCTAGTCTAACTTGCTTGTTGTACAGATAAGTAAAATGAGGTTCAAAGATAACACATTATTGTTATAAATCATTAGCATGATTCTCAGTTTTATGGTCTTCCCATTGCACCTTACTGTCTCCCTGTATACAGAAGTTCTGGGAATACAGGAATATGACTGACACAAAAATGATGTTTTTAAGTATATATAATACTATATAAGAGAACAAATCAATATTCCTATAGCTCAAAGCTTTAAACTGCTTAGTAAGTTTTTATTGGAAACAGAAAAAGTCTTTGAGACGCCAAACACAAAAAGCAAACAACCTACCAAACAAAAAGCCCTTAAGCATCAAGGTCTATGACTATTCATTCTACAAATACTTAGTAAAAACTTAACTATTCACCAAGGTATCATAAATTCTCATTCTCATAGTGCCATATAATTTGCATTCATAGTACTTATCAAAATTGCAATTTTACATTTATTCACATTGATCCCCTTCATTCTGGTCACCTCTACCAGCCTTAAGGACTGAGAGTGTCAGCATTTTGGTCACGGATATATCAACAGTGCCTAGCATAGTTCATGAAACAATGGAAGTGCTCAGTGAATGCACACACCCAAAGAGCCCTACTGCTCTCATTGACTGATTTTATAACAAATAAATAAAATGTAAAGTGATAACTACAGTAAGGACTGTGCAGGAAAGCAAGAGGCTATAAAAACTTAGGTGTTAACTTAATCAAGGGAGGAGCCAGAGGGGAGGCTGAAGACAAAAGCCTATGCCAAGGCTCAGGATGGCACTGAAATAAAATGCAGTGAGTGGGGCAATGCCCTGAGATGAAATGGAGGGGTAAGCAGCAGCCAGTCTACGACAGCTTTGCTTGATCAGGTTAAGGAAGCCTATCTTTGTCCTAAGAGCAGTGGGAAACCATTTATTTTAAGGGTGTGGTGAGAAAGTGAATGTAACATAACCAGATCTGCTCTTTAGAAAGATCTAGTTACAGAAGGGGGACTAGCATGGCTATAGGATTGCCATGCAGGAGACTGTTGATAGTAAAGGCAAGAGATTATGGCAACTTGGAAAAACACAGTGGGGGTAGAGAGGAAGACAAGTAGATGAATTCAAGAGATATTCAGAAGTAAATCCTCAAGACACTGATGGATGGGGGAGGTAGAAAGGTCAAAGAGGGGAGTATTAGAAGACCCCTTGTTTCTCAACTGTTTACTAGATGGATGGTGGTGCAAGCTCTTAAAACAGGGAACACCGGAAGAGGACCAGGTCTGGATGGGGAAGATGGTGAGTTCAGGTTAGACACTAGAGGAATTGGGAACGGAAGGACATGACCTTATACATATATGCGGAACACTTAGATTAGCAAATTTTATGTGGAACGCTTAGATGAGCAAATTGGCAGAGAAAGGAAGAGATAACTGAGAATGAGAATCTGCATACATTTCCCAGGTAAGTTTTGAATTCAGGGTCAAAGTAATTTTATGCAATTGTCTCTTTGATATCTGAATCCAATCATTCATCTTTCAGGATACTATCTTCTCACAATGTCATCTCACAAATCTGTATTAAAGATCCCCACAATGGGTGGCAAGGAGTGGGGACCTCTGCTCTTATCACTGTTCCAGCTAGTTGCCTTACAAGGGAATCAGACAGCTGCTAAGATAAAGAATGGATGTTTAGAAATGAATGTTTCACTAGACTAGGCTAAAAGATGAGACTACCATGTTCCATATATGGATGAGTCCCTGAATAATGGGGGGAAAGAGGGGAAGAGGAATAATTCCCATTTTTCCTCACGGATGCTTCAAATTCCTAATGTCTCCTACAACTAATTAACTTGCAAGATGCAAAATGGAAAAAATGGCACATGTCCTTTGTTTCCGTATTTTAAAAAAATTTCACTTCCTCTGGATGGCTAACACCCTAATGCATGGAACAGTGTTGATGAGAATGAATGGGATCACGGATTTAAGCCCCTAGATTAAGATTTAAAAAGTACAGCCTCTCTAGAGGCAAACTGAGAAATGTACAAATGATGTGGTACTGGTATATCTCAAAGGGACTTTTTTTTTTTTTTTTTTTTGAGACAAAGTCTCACTCTGTCGTCTAGGCTGGAGTGCAGTGGCGTGATGTCAGCTCATTGCAACCTCTGCCTCCCAGGTTCAAGCGATTCTCATGCCTCAGCCTCTTGAATAGCTGGGATTATAGGTGTGCGCCACCATGCCAGTTTTTTTGGGTTTTTTTTTTGTATTTTTATTAGACACAGGGTTTCACCATGTTGGCCAGGCTGGTCTCAAACTCCCAACCTCAGGTGATCTGCCCACCTTGGCCTCCCAAAGTGCTGGGATTATGTGGGTGACTACACCTGGGCATCAAAGTGACATATTCTATCACCATATGACTAAGTCTCATGTTCGAATGACATGTTGTGAAACAGCATCACTCAAGCTAAATTATCCAATTAACTAAGATAATACATGTTTAGCATTTAGCTCAGTGCTGGTAGATAATTAGCATTCAACAAATGTTACCATTCATTTCATGCTGCCACTGAGTCTATCCTCCATATTGGCACAAATTATGCAAACTGTAAAGAGTCTGAATGAAGGATTCCTTTGTAAATTACCTGGAACTTTTTTTTTCAGAAAATGATGAATGATACAGAGGGAAAAGGCATCCTTGAAACTCAGCTTAAAATGTACTAGACAAAGTGTCATCACAGTGGGATGTATGCTGTCATGAAACATCTTGGTATGTACATAATGTATAATATTTCAACATTAGGAGGAAAAAAGCTATATCTAATGATCAAAGGAAAAAGGACATACTCACTTGTCAACTGAGCTTTGGATAATTTTTCACTACAGCTATAACCATGACTGCTTTCCTGTAGCTTTAGCCATTCCTGAGCTTGAAACAGGTAGAGTTTAGCTTCTTTTCCAACAGCTACTGCTATGTTGTTGATTCTGACACACAGAAGAGCATGGTCACCTTGACATTAAAACAAAAATTATCAACTAGTTCGGTCTTAACATGAAACTTGAGACACGAGGACAGCTCAACACCTCTACTTACCAAAATGGAAATTTAAGAAGCACAATTCTTCTTAAATCTTGCTTAACTAGGTAAATCCCATCAGAATAAACACCACATTCATATGCAAGAGATTATTCAAATTAATGTGTGGTATTTCCTTGTAATTCAGCTAAGTGATAATATTTCACTCAATAAACGGCAATATCTGGGGTATTCAAACAATTCACTGTATTAAAAGTTTTGCTACACTTAACAACCACTTCACACGTTTTACATTTTATTCATAACCTATAGAAATGTCCCAGCAAAGTTTCTGTTTTTTAATATAACATAGGTGTTAATATTTAATTATACTCTTAATATAAAAAATAAACATAGCTAATAGCAGGAAAGTTTAAATGTATGTGTTCTAGGGTAGACATATTATACCTAAAATAAAATTTGGTATCTCTGAGTTTTACAAAAGAACTTTCAGGGGCAGGGCTCAGTGGCCACGCCCATAATCCCAGAGCTTTAGGAGGCCATAGTGGGAAGATCCCTTGAGCCCAAGAGTTTGAGACCAGCCTGGGAAACAAAGCAAGATCCTGTTGCTACTGGAAAAAAAAAAATTAGCTGGGCTTAGTGTTGGTGGCTGAACCTGTAGTCTCAGCTACTTGGGAGGCTGAGATGGGAGGATGGCTTAAGCCTGGAAGTCTGAGGCTGCACTAAGCTTCAATCACACCACTGCACTCCAGCCTGGGTGACAGAGCCAAAAAAAATTTTTTTTGACAGAGTGTTACTCTGTCACTCACGCCAGCATGCAGCGGCACAATCTGGGCTCACTGCAACCTCCACCTACCAGGTTCAAGAGATTCTCCTGCAACAGCCTCCCAAGTAAGAGTAACTAGCATTACAGGCATGAGCCATCACACCTAGCTAATTTTTGCATTTTTAGGAAAGACAAGGTTTCACCAGGATAGCCTTTTAATTTTATTTTATTTGAGACGGATCTCGCTCTGTTGCCCAGGCTGAAGTGCAGTGGCACGATCTTGGCTCACTGCAACCTCTGCCTCCCTCGTTCAAGCAATCCTCCTGCCTCACCCTCCTGAGTAACTGGGATTATCAGCAGTAGGCACCATGCCCAGCTAATTTTTTGTTTTTAGTAGAGATGAGGTTTCACTGTGTTAGCCAGATGGTCTCAATCTCCTGACCTCGCGATCCACCCACCTTGACCTCCCAAAGTGCTGGGATTACAGGTTTGAGCCACCCACCGAAACCAGCTTCTTCCATTTTTTTTTTTTTTTTAAAAGAGAACTTTCAGAACCCATGTTGTAAGATGAATACAGAATGAACCTGGTTGCACACACCAATTACATTTAAGGCCCAGAACAAAAATGGCAGTAAGCTATTGTCTCTAGAGAAAGGGACTGGGTGAGAGAGGTAAGACAGGAGACCGCTTTTCATTTTAAGATCTTCTGTTCTCCTGGACAATTTGTTTTCTATGTTTTTGTTACTGTAATTACATTGATTAAATATTTTAAATACATTTAAATATACAGTATATATATCAAAGAATGTGTAAGTCTCTTACATAAAGTGATTACATATTACGAAGTCTTAAAAGTGACTCTGAGGCCCAATTAACACTGTAAATTGCATTCTGAGTTACAGTTCATTATTTCAGTATTTACTGAATTGGGATTCATGAAAATTGGTAATAACTAAATATACATATATTATTTTATACATATGAAAAAGAATGAATGTACTTGAAACACCTTATCCCCAATCTGTCTTGAGAAATCTCAATTTAGTAAATGTTCCTCCTCCATGTTTATCAGATGATCATCATGAACTATGAGGTCATCCAAGCCTCTATGCTGGTCCTAAGTAATGATCCATGTCTTCTGTACATCCCAGATTTTCCAACACTGTCCATATTGTGCCATTTAATATAGTGGCTGTCAATACCCAAAGTAAGATTACAGTCCATTGATTGGGAAACTCAAAATGTGACCAAAAATAATAAAACTGCTTCTAGTGTTTCTTCTTCATTCACCCAAAACATATTCTATATTGGATTTTGAAAAACTGGGTTGCTGAAATTCCTTTTCTCAGCTATCTTAAAAACTTAACAACAAAAAAATCAGGACCCCCTCCCTTTATTACATCAATTCTGTAATTTCCCAATACTTTAAATTCCTTTTCTCACCAAAGTAGCTCCTAGTTTCTATTGGCTTCTCCTAGGAATATTTTCTAGGCCAATATTCTGATGTTCATCGCTGCATCTTTTAATGCTAAAGACTGTACAAACCAAAGATCCTAATGTCATCAAAGTAAATAATTATTGAAATACAGTACTAGTCAAATTCATAGTAGTAGTGAGGGTGCAAATGAGACCAAAATTAGAATGAATTGCAAATTCATTTATTGAAGGAATAATTGCTGATTTTTTAGGGAGACCAAAAGGTAAGAATCAAATGCAGCTCTGATTTCAGAAAAGCCACACAGAATATAAATTAGGGAGCTTCCAGGACGCTACTTAAATGCATTTTCATCAACTTAATTCTAGGCCTCACCGCCTATAGTAAATCTACTGCACTAGTGGCCGTGTAACCAAACTGTTCAATATGACAACTACATTGTCAGGTGTTTTACTTGGTTTCCAAAACCACTCTGCTGCACGTAGGTCTCAGCAAATTGGTCTTCAAAAAATAAAAATAAAAAAAGGAAATTTAAGTTCCTAGGCTTTAATTCTCCCGCATCTATAGTACGTCAGTGTACACAGTGTGGCCGAGACAGGAGGGAGCAAACGTGCTTCTTTGGGGGAAGGATCTGGAAAGATGAGGCCGACCACTCATTTGCACATTCATTTGCAAGGAGAGGGCTGGAGAAATGGAAACCGGCTTCTACGTGCTGACCACGATCACTAGTGGCGAGAGGTCGCTGAGCTGCCTCGGGCTGGGAAGCTGCATCAGCGTGATTGGCAAGGAACGCATCCCACCATTCCCGGCAGCCGCGGCGACGCTGGAGGTCCAGGTGAGGCTGGGGAAGTCGCAGACCTCGCCCAACGTGGCGGGGAGGAGCCGGGGAGGGGCGGCCGGCGGACCCCGCCGGCGGGAAGGGCCAGGGTGCCTTCATCCCTCTCCCCGCCCCCAGACCTACCGTGGAACTCGAAGTGGCCGATGCGCTGGCCCTGGGCGTCTTGGGCCGCGGTGCTGCTGAAGCTGCCCCGCAGGGTCTTACCCTGGCTGCCCTGTGGCCACCAGCAGCACGTGAGGGCCACTGCCAGCAGCCGCAGCCCCCCCATGCCCGCCTCCCGCTCCGCACAGAGGCGGCGGCTCCCAAACGCCGGCTGCTGCCCGCCCCACGTCGGCAGCTGGAGGAGGCGGGGTCGGCGCTGGAGGGCTGCACCCCTAGAGCCTGAGAGCCAATCAGGCGGGCTCCTCTGACATGAGCCGCGGACATTCACCAATGAGAGGCCGAAACGGGCGGGACGAGCAGCTCCGAGCGTCCCATCACTCCCCGGGTTTTGACTAGTTCCCGCCTTTTTCTTTAATGAGGAATCAGGAGGATGTAGCTTCAGGTTACGGAAAACTCATCCCCCTCCTCATCGCCGAGCACGTCGTGCTACTGCGCATGCGGCGGCCCGCTGGCACGAGTCCGCGGGGGCTTCGAGGGGCATGTGGGATTCGGAAGAAACTTCAGAAACGCCAGGACAGCACCGTTTCTGGTCGAGAGAGGAAAACACCTGCAAAGAAAAAACCGTGTTCGTAAGCAGCTTTTCTCCCTCGGTGCCTGTATAACCTACAGGATGTGTCCGATTTAATGTCTCAAAGACACTTAGCTCTGCATGTCCACAGTTTAACGCATGACTTCTCTTGGCATCTCCAACCGATTGTTCCCTCCTAGGTTCTCTGGCTTTTCAAATTACATTATCCATGCCCGCCCAGACCGCTGGCAATTGTAGCGCCCTCCCCCTCCATTCAATCAATTCAATTACGAGTCTGGATTAGCCCCTCTTCTGGTGAGGATGGGAAGCAGCAGCCGCAGTCCTACTCAGGCCAACGCTTTCTCGGCCTATGGCAAAGACCGCCCTCCAGTCTTCATTCTCTCTAATTGGCTACAGTCCATCTCTACAGTAGGAAACAATTTGCAGCACTTGCCTTCAAGGATTCTCAACCGCCTTTAGCACACAACCCAAACTCTAGAATATGGCTCTCCAGCCTCTCAAATGTCAATTTTTTCTCATCTCCATCCTTAGCGCCATCTGTTCAGGAACACTCCCAAGCTCCCCCTTCTAGGCCTATATCACTTCCTGATCCCTCTGGCGGGAATACTTCTGCTTGTTTCCCCACTGGACCTCCTCACCTTCCTTTTCCTCCTTTACTCCTCCTTCCCAAGGCATTTTAAGAAGCCTCCTTCCCAAGGCAGTTTAAGAATCTTTCTCAAACCCCCAGATGTCAAACTCTCCAATTCTGGAACCGGAATCTCTTACTTCCCTACCAGAGCACTCATGCACTTTAAGTATCCACTCATGCGTCTGAAATCTCTGCCTATACTGTCAGCTCCCGCTGACTATACCTGTCTTAATGAAAGTGAGGAAGGAGTATAGGGTCTGGGGGCAGGGAACAAAAGGCCTTTTCACGCCTAAGTAACAAAAGGACCAGAGGCTACCCCTTTGCAAATCCCCACCTTTTTCTCGAGGCAGATAAGAAATTGGTTGTTCCCAACCAATCAGACTGATGGCCAGCTGAGTCTTTGTTTGCATAGAAGTGCAACTTTGTAACTGTGTAACATTGCTTTTTGCAACCAATCAGATGTTTGCAAAGGAGTGTGACCTTTGTAATTCCACTTCAGCCTCTGATTAGTTGCTTTGAGTAACCGACTGTGTCCACCGCCTCATTTACATGAGGTGCGTGTCAAGTGGCCAATGAGAAACCTCTCAGGGGTGTTTGGACCCAAGAAGATTCTGTATCTGGGCCCTTCAGCACTGCTCTGGACCCATACTGAGGGGTGTACCTTCCTTTTCTTCTTCTTCTTTTTTTTTTTTTTTTTTTTTTGAGACAGAGTCTTGCTCTGTCACCCAGGCTGTGGTTCAGTGGCACAATCTTAGCTCACTGCAGCCTCCACCTCCCAAGTTGAAGTGATTCTCCTGCGTCAGCCTCCTGAGTAGCTGGGGTTACAGGTGTGCACCACCACACCTAGCTAATTTTTGTATTTTTTTTAGTAGAGATGGAGTTTCACAGTGTTGATCAGGCTCATCTTGAACTCCTGACCTCAGGAAATACACCCACCTAGGCCTCCCAAAGTGCTGGGATTACAGGTGTGAGCCACAGCCCCTGGCCATGGACTTTCATTTTCAATAAATCCCTGCTTCATTTTTTGCTTGCGTTTTTGTGTGTTTTGTCTAATTCTTTGTTCAAAACGCCAAGAACCTGAGCAATTTGCAGTCAAGACCCTCCACCAGTCACAAAAGTAGGAGCTCAAAATTATTTCAGGAATACATGTATGCAAATTATTTTCATTCAACAACAGGCTTCTATAACATATAAGCAAGTTCTCACAACAGACCTCATTATTTAGAAAAAAAAAATCTTGAGAGACCACTCCTACCATATACCCAGTATCTTCAGTATTTCTGACTGACCAGGAATATGCTGGAAGTATTAATTGGATAAAAAACTGCAATGGTTCTTTATTATAAAAGTAATTCATGTGACTCAGAAAAAAACTTACAGTCAAAAGTATATAAAGTAGGCTGGGCTTGGTGGCTCACGCTTGTGATCTCAGCACTTTGAGAAGCCAAGGCAGGCAGATCACCTAAGGTCAGGAGTTCAAGACCAGCCTGGCCAACATGGCAAACAAAACCCCATCTCTACTAAAAATATAAAAACTAGGTGAATGTAGTAGCACACGCTTGTAATCCCAGCTACTTGGAGGTTGAGGTGGAAGAATAGCTTGAATCTGGGAGGCAGAGGTTGCAGTGATCCAAGATTGTGCCACTGCGCTCCAGTCTAGGCCACAAAGAGAGACTACATCTTAAAAAACAAACCAAAAAAAAGTGTATAAAGTAAAAAAGTCCCCATATCCTCCTTTCCCTGCCTAAATCCCATCCCCAAAGGTAACTTCTTTTAAGAGTTTAGGGTGAATTCTTTCAAATAACCCTTTACAAATATATGTGGCATTTGTAAACCAAGGACAGGAATAAAATTGCTTCTGAAAAAAATCATAACACAGACCTTGAATGCTGGTAGGCCTCTCCTGTCTTTTCTTTCTTCTCGATCAACTGGTTTTCTTACTGTGAGGACAGGCTTTTGGGCTCCTCCATTACTTTGAAAGAACATGACCACCAAAAAGTTCCAGCTTTGTAGGACCTCAGAATTCATGTAGAGAAACCAGACTATACTAATACCTTAGTCAAATTCTAAATCCCACGAAGAGGCTTCAGTTGGCCTAGAGTCAGCCTGATTCCATTCTGTGGCCTGCCTGGGTCAACTTGGGGAGATCATAAAGGATGGTTGAGGGGAATCTGGTCAGAAAAAAAACTGTACATACTGCCTGCAAGATATTTTTGATAAAACCATGCTCTGAATGAAGGGACTTCCCCCAAACAGGCTTTGTGTAAGCAACATGGCTGTTTATTCACCCAGGTGCAGGCTGGCTGAGTCTAAAAAGAGAGTCAGTGGCAGGAGGTGGGACAGGAGTTGGTTTTATAGGTTTGGGGTAGGCAGTGGAAAGTTACAGAAGGTACAGTTTAGGGCAGTTTTTGCAAGCTGGGAGGGGGTCTTAGGATCTGGAGTCACAAGGTTGACCAAAGTTGGTTACAAAGTCCAATTGCCTTATCAATTGAGGTAGGAATAAGGAACAACAGAAGAATGTCTCAAGTTAATTAGTTGCCCTTGTGGGTCAAGATGGCCAGGGCATACCTATGTTACTTCTAGTTAAATAATATCGGTTAAATATATCAAACATTGGTGTAGTAAAATAGAAATCAAGTGGCAATAGGAGGCCTAAGGTAAAGACCACCTGAGAGCGTTGTAAAACCATGGAATACTGAGGGGTGGTTGCAGAGCAGGAAATATTGCTTTGGTCCCACGAATGCCTACTCAACATAGAGTCTGCATGAGGGTCTCGTAAAGAGGGCTTATGCAATATCTCTGAGAAGGCAGGCGACCTCTGCTCATAAGATCCAGGAGGGTCTTTGCAGATGGGAGCTTGCAAGGGGAAAAAGCCTTGCAGGGCAGAGATTACCAGAACACCACAGGCTCTGCCTAGGTTCTCAGAATATGGAATAATCTTGATTGCTCTGTGTCCACAATGCTCTGGAGATAAAAGCCCATAGATGCATTGGGTGTGGTCAAACCTAGTGGTGCCTTATCCACTAAGCTTCTGATGCAAATGCACCTTGGTAGCAACCAGAGGTAGAAACTCAGTGTTCTAGGTTTGCGTAAGAATCACGTCTGCTACTGAATACTGCAGACCACGCCTCTCACTTGGCTATCTTGCCCACCTTGGTTTCAAGTGGTCCCGTGATCATCCCTCCCTGCTCCCTCACCCCTGAATTAACAAGTGTATACACCTGAAAACAGCATGTGGAGCCCAGAGCTCAGTGCCCATGCAGGTCACCCCTCGAGAGTGTGCGTTGGACCCCTGGACCCATGTGAACTGCTCTTGTGTCTTTGTCTTTATTTCTTTTTCTCACTCCCTCAGCACCACCGGGACATGGGGCACCCAGGCACAGGCCTGAACTGGTTCCCAACAGCCACAGGGCCTAATTCTTCCCTTTTTGTGGTTTTTCAGTTACTTCAGACTTTCTATTTCCAGGAACTCATCTGGAGGTATACATGCAGGTCACAGAGGTTACCATGCAGTCCATGGCACTGTCAGTCAGCCTAAAAGACCTTACAATTTTGGTTTTAATTCCATGTTGGTATATTCTTTTTAAAGGCTATAAAACACATTTAGATGATTTTCAGTGTTCCATTATTGCAAGCAATACAGCTATGAACAATTATCTATATTATACATGATGGAATTTAGGGGGGTCATAGAATAAGGACATTTGAAATTTTCATATATATCACCACTTTGCCCTGTAAAAAGGTTGTGACATGATACTGGATGTTTCCATTCATTTTCAGCTTTGCCAAACATTATATTGGGGGAAAAAAGATATTTATTCACCTATTCGACGATATTTAATGGTCATTTATTCTGTGCCAAGTCTCTAAGGACTTGGGATTACAGCAGAAAACAAAACAAAACCCCTGACCCCATGGAACACTAAACAGAGGGCAGTTACATCAATGTAAATGTTGAGTGCTAGGAAAAAACAGAAGGGAAAGATGATTCAGCAGGGTTGGGTAGAGCTCCCTATTTTAATTGTGGTGGTCAATAGGATGATATTCAAGCTCAAAACTGAAGTAAGGATAAAAACTAGGCAGACGCTGGGTGCGGTGGCTCACGACTGTAATCCCAGCACTTTTGGGAGGCCAAGCCGGGCGGATCACGAGGTCAAGAGACGGAGACCATCCTGGCCAACAAGGTGAAACCCTGTCTCTACTAAAAAAATACAAAAATCAGCTGGGCATGGCGGCATGCGCCTGTCGTCCTAGCTACTCGGGAGGCTGAGGCAGGAGAATTGCTTGAACCCGGGAGGCGGAGGTTGCAGTGAGCCGAGATCGAGCCACTGCACTCCAGCCTGGCGCTTGGCTACAGAGTGAGACTCTGTCTCAAAATAACAACAACAACAACAAAAATAGGCAGACATTTGGGGAAGGGCCACTCAGGTCTCCGGGATTGGGTTGGAGTTAGCAAACAGGAGAATAGGCGAAGTGGAGAATAGGATAAGATACCAGGGTAGGATTTGGGGAATATCTTTATCATGACTGAAAGCAGCCTGCGCACTGTCTGTAATAATACATACGTATATTTTTTTGAGACAGAGTTTCCCTCTTGTTGCCCAGGCTGGAGTGCAACCTCTACCTTCAGGGTTCAAGTGATTTTCTCGCCTCAGCCTCCCGAGTAGCCACCATGCCCAGCTAATTTTTCTATTTTTAGTACAGACGAGGTTTCACCATGTTGGCCAGGGTAGTCGCAAACTCCTGACCTCTGGTGATCCAACCGTCTCGGCCTCCCAAATTGCTGTGATTACAGGCGTGAGACATCTCGCCCGGCATGTAATAATATTAGCAACAGCAAAAGATCATGTTGCAGGCCAGGCACTGTGGCTCACGCCTGTAATCCCAGCACCTTGGGAGGCTGAGGAGGGAGGTTGGCTAGAGCCCTGGGAGTTCAAGACTAGCCTGGGCAACATGGCGAAACACGACACTACCCAAAATTAGGTGGGTGTGGTGGCGCAGGACTGTATTCCTAGCTACTGAGGAGGTTGAGGTGGGAGGATTGCTTGAGCCCCATTGGTCGATCCTGCCACAGTGAGTCGTGATCGCGCCATTGAACTCCAGCCTGGGTAACAGAGCGAGACCCTCTCCCTGTCTCCCTAAAAAAAAATCATTTTGCAATTGCAACCTCCCATCTCCATCTGCAACAACTCGCCGTTCTCAGCTCAACTGATACGTAACCTCTAGAGATGGCTGTATTACAAGAATGAAAGAAGGTGCTCATTCATAATTCTGACCCACAGTGGTGACACCTCCGGGAAAAACGTTCCATACCCCCACCGTCCCGGCGACCTCAATCGTATCGAGTTGCCCAGGCGAGGGCGGAAAGGAGCTGCGCCTACGCGGCGGTGAGCGCGGGCCCGCCCAGCCCACTAGTGGGCGGGGATAAATCGGCCGCCGCCCAATCTCCGGAAGCTGCCGCTGGCAGCTCTGTTAACGTGTCCAGCGAGCGAGCTGTGTCGCAAAAAGTCGTGGCGGAACTTCGCGGCGCTTTTCAGACAATACACTTTACGGAACTAGGCATTGCCGAGCTGGGAGATGTCGGCGGCGGGTTGGGCGGAACCCTGGGGTCCTCCCGGCGGCTTTGCGAAGCGGGTCCTGGTGACCGGCGGTGCTGGTTTCATGTAGGTAGTAGCGCCGCTAGCTAAGCAGTGGCTCCCCAGAAACCCCTACCTTTTCCCGCGGCTCTGCTTGCCCTGGGCAATTTGGGTCCAGCTTTGAGGGGTCCTTATTCTGACCTGGGGAGGGGTCCTAATGCACTACTTGGACCATCGTAGCTTTTGTCTCCCTGGCCTGCGAAGACGTGGTTCCTTTGAAACTGTGACTTCTTTAAAACGCCTGTTCCAAAGCAAGAGTGTGGCCCGAGGTGCTCACCACGTCACTCTTTGAGTGCCTGCAAGTTACCCTAAGCTGGTCACCGACTGCTTCCCACCCGCAGCCTAAAGCACCCCCACCCCACGATGCGCAAGCCCTGTACGTACAGGCACCCCCAAAACGATTTGAGGATTATAATAGGACATCCATGTAATAGCAAACGTCACAGATCCACTGTTGACAATATTTTTCTTCCTCAGCCCCACATTCGATCAGCAAGTCCTCTCTGCTTCCAGAGTATAACCTCACGGCGACGACTTCTCACCACTTTCCTAAGGACCACCCTAGCCCATGTTTACTGTCATTTTTCGCCTAGGCTGCTGCTGTGGCCTCCTGGTTGGCCATAACTGCGTCCACTCATGTTCCTTTAAAGACCGTTGCTCACGTACAAGTCAGTGTTTCTTAAGTCAATCAGATCGTGTTAGTGAGCAGGATTAGAAAACTCAAGTGCCCAAGCCCTACTTTTGCAACCTGATCTGCTTTTCTGTACCTGCCACGCTTCCCCTCTTACAGATCTTGGAACACACCAGGCTAGTTCCTCCTCCTGTCTTGAAGCCTTTGCACTTGCCTCCCCTTTGCTTAGGCTGTTTGCACCACTCAATTCTGGTTTTTATTCAGATATCACCTCCTCAGAGAGTTCTTACCTGACCACCATATCTAAAATAGCACCTCTCCCAACTGGCACACTTACCTCTACCTGAAATTATATTGCTGATTTGTGTTTGCTTGTTTATTGCTTGTGTCCCCACTCTAAAATGCAGACTCGATAAGGACAGAGACTACTGTTCACTCAGCACTTGGAAGAATGCTGGCCCATTCTGTATAAGTCTTTAGTAATTGTTGAATGGATGAATGTAAGAAACTCTCCCACCCTCCCCTCAAGGAACTCAGTGTTTAGTGGAAGAAGAGGGAATGTGAGGAATCTTGTTTATTGCCTTTGGCACAGTAACTCACCCTTTCTAATACAAGTCACTTGTTGGAGGACATCAGACTGCAAGTTTCACTTAATGAGAAAGAGGGGCCGGGTGCGTTGGCTGATGCCTGTAATCCCAGCGCTTTGGGAGGCCGAGGCAGGCAGATCACGAGTTCAGGAGTTTGAGATCAAGAGTTTGAGACCGGCCTGGCCGATATGGTGAAACCCATCTCTACTAAAAATACAAAAATTAGCTGGGCATGGTGACGTGCACCTGTAGTCCCAGCTACTCCAGGGGCTGAGGCAGAAGAATCACTTGAACCTGGGAGGCGGAGTTTGCAGTTAGCCAAGATCCGAGATCGCGCCACTGCACTCCGGCCTTGACTACACAGTGAGACACCGTTTCAAAAAAAAAGAACTATGGGCATGAAAGGGTGATACTCGTGTGAGACTGTGGGTCCAGGAAGGGTGCGACTTAGAAAGTGCTGTGAAAGGAATGCCGAATCCAAACTCCAAGTTCATTATTTGGTCAAGGGCTGCCCTTTCCTGGGAGCCCAACTTTTTAAGTATATCTGGTAAGTCTGGTAGATCATTTCACTGAGATATGCCTGATTCCCCTTCAGGGACCTCTGAAACCAGAGACCCACTCTGGATATTCAACTCAGGATGGTTTCGGCTGTTATTACCCTGGGAATCCTGGCTTCAGTCTAGAACCCTTTTGAGGATTCTAGTTTACATTACCAAAATCTTATACCAAGAAACAGCAGTTGCAGAAGTTACTGTAATATGGACAACCCACTATGCTCATATTAATTTAATGTTTACATACTTATATCTGCAGTTCCTGAAAAGGCAGAGGCATGTACAGTTGTGCTGACTAGCTCCCGTTTATCATCCTTTTTACTCCACACTTGTACATGTATGGATAGTGCATCATTTGGTTAAACTGACTTTTTTCCCTATACCCAGAACCAGTACATTCTCTCTTCTGCATAGTCTAAATGGAATGTAAAACTTTTGTTTATACTGTTGAGAAGTTTGGTAAAAAGTATGCATGTGTGTATATTTAGTGTAGTTGTATTGTTTTCTGTTATCTCAGAAAAAATTAAAGTTATCTTTGAGTATTTTCCTAATATTCAACAGCTTAGGAAAATATTCAAGAGTTTAGGGAAGTTGACGTTTTTCACTAACAACGTATGCTTTTCTTTAAATAGCGCATCACATATGGTTGTCTCTTTAGTGGAAGATTATCCAAATTACATGATCATAAATCTAGACAAGGTAAGTTTATAAAAATGAGCTTCATGCTTCTTTCCAAAGCTTAAAAAGGAAAAAAAAAATGAGCTTCGTGCACTGAAATTACATGTCAATTTATGTTTTTTTAAAAGTAATAGAATTCTGTCATGATCATATTTTAATTTTGTATTTAGTCATTTTAGCAGTTTAGAGGCTCTGTATAATAATGTGCTCATGCTGTGTTTAATCTTATGTAAAATCTTTTGAAACTTTCATTTCTTATGATGGTCCACAAAATAAAATTTTTGTTTTGTTTTGTTTTTTCAGTTGCAACTTTGCAAATGGACTTTTTGGATTTTCATTAAAAAAAAAACTGTGAGAAAAATTTATAAGGCAATTTGGTAATTATAGGCCTTAATTGGATTTTTTAAATTTTTTAATTGACATATCTTAGTTGTACATATTTTGGAGTACACGGGGATGTTTTGATACATGTATACGATGTGTAATGATCAAATCAGAGTTATTGGGACATCCATCATAAGAATAACCCTTAACTCTTAATGAAATTTTGCCTGACTTGCTATAATGGACAGGAATTTTTTTCTGTATCACCAATATACCAACACTTTGAGGAATAGGTATAATGAATTATAATATGTATAACACAGGTCTAATTATCTTCAATCACTAATTCCTTTTCTATAAGAAATAGAAAACTTTTCCAGCCACCAGTGGCTACAGGCAAATTTGGCAGAAACTTTTTTTTGAGATGGAGTCGCCAGGCTGGAGTGCAGTGGCGTGATCTTGGCTCACTGCAACCTCTGCCTCCTGGGTTCAAGAGATTCTCCTGCCTCAGCCTCCTGAGTAGCGGGGACTACAGGCATGTGTCACCATACCCAGCTAATTTTTATATTTTTAGTAGAGACGGGGTTTCACCATGTTGGCCAGGATGGTCTGTATCTTTTGACCTTGTGATCCACCCACCTCAGCCTCCTGTAGTGCTGGGATTAAGCCATTGCACCAGGCCAGGAACATTTTTTAAAGTAGAGATTATGAAAAGGTTTTTGTTTTGTTTTGTTTTTTGGTGCTTTGAAAAGGTAATAGAATTACTTGTTTTTTACTTTTAAGATGTCAGAAACTTAAAATATGTAAAAATAGAGAGCAAAGACACTTTAAGAGGACATATATTCTTGTGTTATAACCATTAACATCTATAGTCTTTAAAATAAATTGGTATTTTATTGGAAAAGCTAATATCACTTTTTGTGTTGCCCCTGCTGTGCTCTCTTCTTTCAAGCTGGATTACTGTGCAAGCTTGAAGAATCTTGAAACCATTTCTAACAAACAGAACTACAAATTTATACAGGTATGAACATTTTCTTAAAATTGTACTGTGCCTCTTTAGTCATGCAGGAGTTATAATATCGTTTTACTTACAAACTTGTGTAAAATGGGCTTGAAAGGCACACTAATTAAAGACCTTTTAAAAGATGAGGTAGTTAATTTCCAAAAGTACCATGTGCTCTAGAGGATACTGTTTTTGATTGACAACACATAAAAAGCTACATGTGATTTTTGGTACCTTGGCAGATCTACTAGTAGCAAAGTTGATTTATGTGGTTTGTGTTTTAGTTCCTCCCTAGTCTTTCCCTATGAAGGCTGATTGACTCTGGAAGTCTGACTCTTACCACTTTTAGACAAGTTCAAAGTATAAACCATATGACCAGTTCATTAATTTGTGAAGGGAAATGTTATTGTCAAATGAAAGTATTTATCTTATGATATATGATTTTTAAAAGTTATTCTATAAACTATCTTTTTAAGTACAAACTTAAAGAATATAATAACAACCGTTTCATAATTCTATTCTGTATGATGGTATTTTCTTTAGCTGCTGAAGAATTGTTGAGAATACATATTTTTAGAAGATTAAATGTACATATAAACATCAGAAGTATCATAATTTTACTTAACTGTGGTAAAATGTGTTTTCGAAATATCATTCCAGTTGTTACACTATTTTTTTGAGACAGAGTCTCGCTCGGTCGCCCAGGCTAGAGTGCAGTGGCATGAGCTCGGCTCTCTGCGACCTCCACCTCCCAGGTTCAAGCAATTCTCCTGCCTTAGCCTTCTGAGTAGGTGGGATTACAGGCGCCTGCTACCACATCCAGCTAATTTTTATATTTTTGGTAGAGACGGAGTTTCACCATGTTGGCCAGGCTGGTCTCGAACTCCGGGCCTCAAGTGATCCACCCTCCTCAGCCTCCCAAAGTGCTGGGATTATAGGCTTAAGCCACTGAGCCCAACCTAAGATATATTTTAATAATGATTATCACAAAGGTTTTTTTTTAAAATGCTAAAATAGTTTTTTATTAGTATAGTGGCCTTGGGTTGGCAAAAATGTTGTGGACAACACTAGCATGGCAGTTAGTAGTTGTTGGTGCTCATTAAAATATTATCTGGAAAAATAGTTTGAATTAAATATCTAATATCCTAAGATGCTGGAGAGATACATCATTGCTATCCTTGTTTGAGCTCTTAGTGGAATTTTGAAGACACTCTCTATTATACAGGTCGGTGGGAAGTAGGGGGATATTATAGTAAAAATGGTTATGCATGAGCGTGCCCAATGAAACCTAGCCCTTTTATGTTTGCTTTTTCATGTAGGGTGACATATGTGATTCTCACTTTGTGAAACAGCTTTTTGAAACAGAGAAAATAGATATAGTACTACATTTTGCTGCGCAAACACATGTAGGTAAGCATTGTTTTATGTTACAGTTATGATTGGCAGATCCCCCCACCTCCACCTGCTGTGGCTAACTAACCAAAATCCAAAGTCCAGTAATTGAGTTAAATAATTAGGTACAGTAGAAAAACAAGCCCATAGTCACTATGTCATCAATAAACTCAGCACTTTTTAGATACTTTTATTAGCATTGCGAGGGTGTATTAGTGAAATACAACCTTGAATGCTATCTGAAAACTTTGACTTTATCCAGTTCAGGATAACGAAGGGGAGCAATGGAGAGATGGACCTTCAACTGTATTTTTACGTTGTTTTTCTTAAGTTTTGTGGTGGGTATGCAGATGAACATTATACCATTTTGTGAATTTTAGATATTTTCTAATAATTTGACTGTTTTATTATGAAATATATTTGAAAGCATTTTGAAGTACAAGTAAATAATGATAATGTGAGCACCCATGTATCTATCGCCTGAACCAAAGATAGAATATTGCTGATCCCTCTTCGGTAGTAAGTACTACTGCTGCCTGTTAGATTTAAAGTTATAATTTCCTTTGCTTTTCTCTACACTTTTGCTGTCTATACATTTATCCTTAAACAATATAGCTTAGCTTAGGCTGTTTTTAAGCTAAAAAAAATACACACACACACACACACACACACACACACACACGTAAAATCATATGTAAAGGTTTTTTTTGTTTTGTTTTTCTATGTATATGTAGATTCATCCATGGAGTTGAATACAGATATAGTTTGTTTGTTTTCAGTGTCATAATATTCCAGCCTAAAAATGTATACATACATATATACTGTAGTTAATACGGGTATTGATCAACTTACGACCTATGCAACTTACGACCATTTGACTTTACGATCACCATCGCTAGCCATGACTGTTCCGCGTCTGGCAACGCAAACGTTGCCCACCTGGGCGTAAGACAGTGCGGACCAGCTTCCAGGAGCACTACCATCTCCGCGTGCATATAGCTTACTCAATTTACGACCAAATCGTGTCACAACAGGTCTGTTGGAACCAATCGTGGTCGTAAGTCGAGCACTACCTATATACTTTATCCTTGATGGCCATTTGGGTTCTTTACACTTTGGAGCAGTTTTGAACAGTACTACCATGGACATGTATCATGATACATAAGTATACATTACACTTGGATGTGTAACTGAGATCATAAGATCTGTACACTTCACATTGAGATAGTGTCAAACTATGGTCCAAAGTAATTATACCAACTTCCACTCCTCCAGCAGTGTGTGACTTCCTGTTGCTACAGATCTCACCAAAGCTTAGGTTTCTCAGTCTTTCCATTTTGCCAAATCTCAGTGCTGTGTAGTGGTGTCTCATGTTTCTAATTTGTATTTTCTCTGATTACTAATAAGATTAAGTACTTTATATATTTTTTTTTGTAATTTGAATTTCTTTGTGAAATGCTGTTGAAATTTTTTGTCCGTTTTAAAATGGGATTGTTTACCTTTTTCCTCATTGAAAGAGAAGTTTCAATGAGAAAAAGTGGCAGAGTTTTGATATATTCAGGACACTAGTTCTTTATCATTATGTATGTTACAGTTGTCTTCTACTCTGTATGGCTGGTCTTCTCACTTTTTGATAGTGTGTTTTGGTGAACAGATGTTTACAGTGTTACTGTAGTGAATGTATGTTTTTTCCTTGATGCTTAATGCTTTTTCAGTTCTTAAATTCTCTCCTACCCCAAGGTCATGAAGATATATTTTTCTATATTTTCAAAACTTTATAATTTTCTCTTTTACATTTAGATTTGTAATCCATCTGAAATTAATTCTTATGTAACACCAATTTCATTTTTTGTATGTATGAATACCAATTGTTCCTGTACCACTTACTGAAAAGTTCATCCGTTTCTACTCTGTGTCATATCAAGTATATTTGATATCTCTGTCTCTTTTCATTGTTTGTCCCTACTTGTCTGATTACGCGCTATATTGACAAATACAATGATTTCATATCGTTAAAGCAAGTCCTTCTACTTGGTCGATGATAAAACCAGTTGTGAACTTCTGCCAGCAATTTATGAGATGCTTGCCAACACTCGCTGTGTCGATTTTGCAGTTTTATTTTTCTCTGATGAGGTTAAAAACCTTTTTCATTTGTTTATTAGACTTTTCTTTATTATTAGTATATCCTCTTTGGAAAGTTTCTATTTAAGTTTCGTGACCATTTCCTATTAGGTTGTCAGTTTTTTCCTTATAGATTTTTATAATTCCTATATATATTTTGGATTCAAGCCTTTTCAACTACCTTTTCGTCAGTCTGCTTTGCCTTTTTCCATTCTTAATGGTGTCTTATTATTAGTGAAAGTTCTTAATTTCCGTGTGGTTCAGTTTATCTTTACTTTTCTTTAGGGTTAATGCTCTTTCTGTCTTGATCAAGAGCTCGTTTCCTACCTCCAAGGTCATGGACATGTTGTTTTACAATTCTTTTCTTAAAAGTTACTGTTTTTCCTTTTACATTTAGATTTCTTCCCATATTGATACCAGTTTGACTCAAAATCATTTATTGGAAAGACTTGACTCTCCCTCATTGTCACTTTTGTCATGGTCAAATGTTTATATATGTATGCTTCTATTTCTCAGCTCTGTTTGATTACATTGGTCTTTGTCTGTGCTTATACTGTTACCATTCCATCTTAATCACTATAGCTTTATAATAATTCTTTAGACCATACAAATTTTTATATGGTCAAATTTATAAGCCTCTTTCATTATTGCTTCTGAATTGTGAGTCATAATTAAAGTTTCTTCCATTTCCTGGTTATGGAGGGTCTGTTTTTTTAAGGTGAATTTATTTTTAAATAACTCATTCAGCATTTATTGCTTTCAGCAGTAACAGATTGATCTGAAAAGCCTAGTCCTATAATTCATAATTTTTTTAAATTTAAGAACATTTTAAATTTAGTTGTATCATTTTTTAAAGTTTCTTCCTTATAGAATAAAAAACAGTTTTCTGCAAATTTAACACTGGCGGTTTTCTGGGTTCTAAGAATTTACATGTACTGTGTAATTTAGGTTTTAAGAAATCATAAATATCACTGCCTGTGTGTGTTGTTTCTACAACTGTTGCAGCTATGGTATGAAGAGCAGTGAAAGGTACTCTTCTTAAACCTGAGTTCATCATTTGGCATTTCTTTTATTCCTTGGGTAGACTTGTTTTAGCTTTTCACTCTTTGTTTTTCAGATCTTTCATTTGTACGTGCCTTTGAGTTTACCTATGTTAATGTTTATGGCACTCACGTTTTGGTAAGTGCTGCTCATGAAGCCAGAGTGGAGAAATTTATTTATGTCAGCACAGATGAAGTATATGGTGGCAGCCTTGATAAGGTGAGCTTAGAAAATGTGTATTTTACCTACTTACCATCTACCGTGATACAGTTTTATTAAACCTACACTGGGCTTTTTTCATCCTCAAATTATGTACACTGTGGCACTCTTCAGAGTTCTAGAGGGACAGAACTGATAGAATATATATTCTATCACATGATCATAAGGTCCCACAATAGGCCATCTGCAAGCTGAGGAGCAAGGAGAGCCAGTCTGAGTCCCAAAACTGAAGAATTGGAGTCAGATGTTCGAGGGCAGGAAGCATCTAGCATGAGAGAAAGATGTAGGTTGGGAGGCTAGGCCAGTCTAGTCTATTCATGTTTTTCTGCCTGCTTTATATTCTAGCCACACTGGCAACTGATTAGATGGTGCCCACTTAGATTGAGGGTGGGTCTGCCTTTCCCAGCCCACTGACTCAAATGTTAATCTCCCTTGACAACACCCAGGAGCAATACTTGCATCCTTCGGTCCAGCCAAGTTGACACTTAGTGTTAACCGTCACAGAATGTTATTCCATGTCTCCTCTGTTCAGATCAAGTGATACCACCCCAAATAGGAACAACAGCCTAGTCCTGATAGAGACATATTTATTTTTTCATGCCCCAGAAATCTCTTCAGTTATAGATTTATTTGTAATTTTGCAAGAGAATTATAAGGTCCAGCCCTACAAGGTTCTGTGAGCCCCGCCCAGCTGGTGCGGAGATGAGAAATTGTAGAAATAAAAGGCATAAGACACAGAGATAAAGAAAAGAGAGTTTGGGCCCAGGGGTCCACTGCTACCCAAATCGCGGAGACCAGCAGTGGCCCCAAATGCTGGGACGCTCTCACTTTTATTGAGTTGCAAATCTGGGGGCAGGGTAGGTAGGGCATGGCCTTGGTGGTCGGAGACTGGGGGCAGGGTAGATAGGGCATGGTAGTGATAGGGTGAAGTATATCACGTGTCATTCAGGTAGGGGCTCAGGAATTTCTGGCACCCAAAGTGAGGTAAGGAGCATAATGCATCAGCATTTTTTCCATACTTATCAAGAAAGAACTAAAACATTAAAATTTATATTATTATTACTGATTATCTTTTCTAAGAAAAAAGGAACCAGGTGCAGAAGCAGGACATGAGAGTAGACATGGATCGTAACCACTGAGGCACAGCATCATCACAGAGACAGTTAAGGCCCCGGATGTCTGCGGGCCTCCCTGACAGCCCTCAGGCCCTACCACAAGAGGTTGGAGAAGCAGAGTTTTCTCCAAACTTCCCCAGGAAGGAGATGTCTTGGCAATTTTGGACATCTCCTTCCCTAGCTGGTTAAACAGCAGGCGCTTTCACAGCGCTGGCGCTGCTGCACAGCCGAGGCGACCTCCAGCAGCCCTCATGCGTCTTGCCTTAATGTCATTCATTTCACACTGTCAACCCCAGGTTCACACTTCCGACCTGAGAGGTGTTAGTAAAAGAATTAAGATCACCTATGAATAACTAAGATCGCATATGAATAACTAATAATTACTATGGTATATTTCTAGTTACTTTATTTATCATTATTTATATGGAAATAGGCTGAGGCCTTTTGCTCCAGTGCTGATGGGATCTCCCCCCTACAGAGAAATGCAGATCTCACCTTTTTGTCCCAGTCTTGCAAATGTGATGAATATCATTCCGTGGACCAAAGCATAAGTGAGTGCAGCTGTAGCACACTGCCTGTTCGTCTTTCCCTTTCAGTCAGGAAAACATGTTGGAATGCCAAGGAGACAGTGTAAAATTCTTGTAAAAACCAGAATCTATTTTTTTAATAAATCGTGTGTAAATATTATGGTTTTTATGCAAAGAAGACTCCATTGTCCAATCTATAGTGTTTATAGTTGGCTTTTGCAGTGACCTCATTTTATTTTATTATTTATTTATTTATTTTGCCAGAACACATAGTGAAAAAAAATCAAATAGTCCAAAAAGATTTACAGTGAAAAAAAGTAGACCTTGACCACTTCTCAGTTATCAATTTTACTTCCAAGAGGTAACTATTTTCAATTTTCTGCAGTTTTTATCAGGTAAACTTCTTTCTTCATGCACCCTGCCACCCTACATCAGCTCCAACACAGTAGCCAGAATGATTTTTAAAATATAAGTCAGGCCGGGCGCGGTGGCTCACGCCTGTAATCCCAGCACTTTGGGAGGCCGAGGCGGGTGGATCACGAGGTCAAGAGATCGAGACCATCCTGGTCAAAATGGTGAAACCCCGTCTCTACTAAAAATACAAAAAATTAGCTGGGCATGGTGGCGCGTGCCTGTAATCCCAGCTACTCAGGAGGCTGAGGCAGGAGAATTGCCTGAACCCAGGAGGCGGAGGTTGCGGTGAGCCGAGATTGCGCCATTGCACTCCAGCCTGGGCAACAAGAGGAGCGAAACTCCGACTCAAAAAAAAAAATATATATATATATATATATGTCAGACCTGGCATTACTCTGCTCAAAATCTGTTGTTGTTTTATGGTGGCCTTCAAAGTTTTGGCCTTCCTCTAGCTCTCTGACCTCTTCCATTGTCTCTCCCCTCACATCAGCCTGCCTGCGGTTCCTTTGGACACGCTTCTGTCTCAGGGCTTTTACACATGCTGTTCTCTCTCTCTCTGCTATCTAGGATTGTTGTGCATGTTAAAGAAGTTACTACATGTCCTCGGGAAAACACCAGGCACATAGATTTAAGAAGTGGCTTTTAAAATTTGGCGATTGACATTTCAAGTTTTAATCTGTGCTCTGATTTTTGTACTTAAAATATGCATAATACTTTTTTTTAATATATATTTTTAAAATTAGGAATTTGATGAATCTTCACCCAAACAACCTACAAATCCTTACGCATCATCTAAAGCAGCTGCTGAATGTTTTGTACAGTCTTACTGGGAACGATATAAGGTAAGAACCGATTGCAGAAGCTCTTGAAACATTTTCCATTTTCCTAAAGATATTTAAAGTTTTTGTTTATTCTTTGGAGACAGTCTTGATCTGACACTCAGGCTGGTCTCAAACTCTTGACCTCAAGAGATCCACCTTGGCCTTCCAGAGTGCTAGGAGGATTATAGGCATGAGCCACACCCAGCCCGAGTCAGCTTTTAGCAGCATGCTTAGAGTAGAAGGCATAGATCGAGAATATGTACATATTATAGAATTTTAAAAACTAATTTCCTCTATTGTGTGGACAAAGTAGGACCTACCCCTTATTCAGTTCATCATTAAGGGAATAATTTGAATATATATTTTTTTCTATTTCAGTAATAGGTAGAATGTTACAGCTATAGTCAGAGTGCTGTTGGAGTCCTTTGAGTGGAGGAAGAGGGAGGACAGATCCCCTTTCTGCCAATGTGCTTCTCTCTGCATGATTCTGCTTTTGTGGCTCCTCATGAATGGGAAGTAGACTTGCCCCTGGTGGCTCTGACACTGTCACTAGGGGAGCCTTACCCCGTATGAATCCTCATCTTGAATCTCCTACATTCGGCTTCCTGCTGCTGTTTGTGTGTCATTAGGGACTGTTCAGAGAGGCAAGCCTTGAAATTCCTAAAGATTCTCTCACCATTTGGGTTCTGGTGGCGTCGGTCCTTTTTACTTTCATACTAGCTGTTTTTATTTGTAGGGATTGGTACAATGAAGAGAGTCCTTGAGGTGGTCTTTAAAATAATCAGCTAAAAAGTTCTTCAATGTTTTGCTCCCAGACTTATAAACATGTGCCATCTATACTCATCTTCTTGTACTAATAAAAGAATGTTCCTCTTCTTCCTTTTGGAACCTCTGCCTTTATCTGAATCTTATCCTTTCCATTTTAGAAACCTTGCATTAGAAAAATATCTCTTCCCTTTGACCTTAAGGTGTATGGAATTATTTAGGCAAAGGTGCCCATATTTTGAAATTCTGCTCATCTTTAAAATAGTCATTATTATCAGACCTTTTCAAAAGCCTTAATGTTGAATATTCTTTTAAGTTTCCAGTTGTTATCACAAGAAGCAGTAATGTTTATGGACCACATCAATATCCAGAAAAGGTAAGCTTTACTTCTGAATTCATGGTATTTTTCAGTGATTGCAACTTCTCATTATTTGAAATAACCTCTCTTCAGTTGTTTAATATGTTGTAAATTATACATAATCTTATATGCTGTATAACACCACATGCAGATTCCTTCAGATGTAGAGTTTGAAGACTTGGGTTTTAAGTCCCAAGCTGGCTGACACTCACCAGCTGGCTTCACCACTTAGCAGGGATTTTGAAGGATCCAGTGAAAATTATATATATGAAAATACTTTGTACTTTTAAAGACTCTAAAGCATCACTACTGACATGCTGTAGCTGACTCCCTGTTTGCAGTCAGACCAGTCTATCAGGGTATACAGAAAGTCAAAAGCTAACTAGATAGTGATGCAAGAAGCTTGTATACATTAACTGTCTTAGTGTCACCTGGCTAACTGTGCCTCAGCTCATCTTTATTGTGTAGGCATGAATGTCTTCCAGAAAGTACTACAAGTAATGAATAAAAAAATGTAGTTTAGAGGCTGAAAATGCTTGTGCAGTTGGTTCTATATCATCAAGCGTGATTTTATATAACTTTGGCCACTCTGCCTAAGTTTGGAGACTGGGTTTTCTTGCTTCCCAGCTCGTTGGATTGATCTGTTTGCCCAAAGGAAAGGGCCATGTCATGAACTGCAGGTATTAATATTTACTTTGCTTAATTTTTCTTTGAATCCAAGAGCTCTGGAAGTTACTTTCTATAAATTCATCAAGCACTTAATGCATAGGTGCTATATGTAAAGCAATGAGAGACAAATATTTGCCCTTATAAAGTCAGCACAAAGGTGAACTTTGTGATGAGACCAACTGTTTGATGAAGACTTTTTCTGCATTTTTCCACTATTCAGATCATTTTGTCTTCAAGTAGTCTGTCTTTATGAAATAGCAAACTTAAGAGTTCTTTTACTTATCAAATATTATAGTAGGTTTTTTATTCAACTGATAAAAAGAATTAGAAGCAATCCATATGCATATTTCTTAATCTTTTTATCTTATGACGAGTTCAGATTCATACTAATGAGTAAATTTCCAGTCTGATTTAAATATTCTTTTAGGTTATTCCAAAATTTATATCTTTGCTACAGCACAACAGGAAATGGTATGTAATTATTTACCTTTTTACCCATATGCTTTTTTGGTATGTTAGAGTATTTGGTGGCACTCTTTCTTGAATATCATAAAGTCTTAGAGGCCATAGAATTGAATGTCCCACTAAATGTAAGAATCATTTCTCCAGTGTAATAGTTTTTAAAATAATCTGTATCTTGTTTTTATAATTTACTTGCTGAGAGAATGTCAAATCTTAATGACCTATCACAGAACTTTGAGTTATAGCATTAAAATTTGAAAGCTATTTTTATATAATTTTACTTTCTAAAAGGCATTACTTACGTCATAGAACTGTAGCTATTTCCTTACAACAAACTTATGGTATAAAATTAAATACACATTTCACAGGGGTCACTGATATGTTTGCCACTTTCCTACTGAGTACCGTCAGAGGGTTTGGAGATTATTTAAGAAAAAGGAACAAAATTTAGAAAAGCTGTGATGATTTGTATTTTCAGTAAAAGATTCTGAGATCCCCGGGGGAATTGGCTTCTCTGGAGTTGTACCTAGTAGATGCTTTAGGAGAGCTTATCTTTTTACACTTATGATTTCACTTCTTTTAATCTCTAGTTGCATTCATGGATCAGGGCTTCAAACAAGAAACTTCCTTTATGCTACTGATGTTGTGGAAGCATTTCTCACTGTCCTCAAAAAAGGGAAACCAGGTGAAATTTATAACATCGGAACCAATTTTGAAATGTCGGTTGTCCAGCTTGCCAAAGAACTAATACAACTGGTCTGTATCTATTTTAAAAGAGTGGTATTTTCAGAATTGTTAGTGGCAGTAACCATTAATTTAGTCAAAATCAGTAGCATACAGTTTACTTAATTTAAAAGTAAGCAAGTAGAAAACGAAATTAATGTTTGTGTCTACCATTTGTGTCTTAAGTTGTATCATCTATTTAGCAACAGCTTTTCAGGAAAAAACAGTTCATTAAATGTGCATTCCTTAATTGTAAGATATAACTCATTTTCAGAAATATAAAATTGTGTCTAAAAATAAGTAACAGTGATATATAAAATAATTATATTAGTAATTATGAATATCCATATATGAATATGCATCTGTACTGTTAATAGTTATGAATATCCATAGGGGACATCAGTTATAAATCTTAGTTTAATATAAAGAGGGACTGAATAATAACCAGAATCCAATGTGTATATCTGAGCTTCAGGTGGAATTTAGGTTATAAAGTATAGAAAGTGTCACTAAAATGATGTTCATTTTAGCTGTCTTCGCTGCTGTGAAGCAGTTATTTTCTTTTTAATCAGCCATTAAATACCATTGTTATTCTCTGATCTCATTTTATAATTTGACTCAAAAGCCGTCTCCATTTTGACAGATCAAAGAGACCAATTCAGAGTCTGAAATGGAAAATTGGGTTGATTATGTTAATGATAGGTGAGTAACAAGTTAAAACATTGGGGAAAGGTTGTGAAATCTTAGGTACTTATAAAATCATGAAATATGTGGACTTGACCAATAACTACTTTATCTCTTTTGAATTTTCTGGCAAAACATTTTTTTCCATAATTATAAATGCCATACAAATTAAGTATAGCATTATTACCTACTAGCTACGTGACTTAAAAATTATTGCCCTTTTCCAAGTCTGAAGTTTCAAACCTCCAGTGTGAAATAGGGATAATAACGTCTTTCTTATAAAAGTATTTTAACATTTATTTATAATGTATATGAAATACCTGACCCAGGGCCTGGCATATGAGTCCTAATACATTTTTGTGTATTTGTTTATTCATTCATTGAATGTTTATAGAGTATTTTTATGGTCAGGTACTTCACTTATATCTAGATCGTGGCTGAAACAAGAAGATAAGACACAGAGGGTTAGGCACCTGGTAGTATGGATGATTTTTTTTTTTTTACTATAATACTTGATTTTAACAAATTTTCTGCAAAAAACCTATTGGAAATTTTTGTAAAGAGAAAACTTGAGTTATGGTAAAAATGCATAAACACATGTCTCCTAGTATCTAAGTTTGTAAATATATATCTACAATGTCATTTTAAATCTGTTTTGTTTTCCAAGACCTACCAATGACATGAGATATCCAATGAAGTCAGAAAAAATACATGGGTTAGGATGGAGACCTAAAGTGCCTTGGAAAGAAGGAATAAAGAAAACAAGTATGTTATGAATTAATCATTTTGTGGGGAAGTCAGAAAAATTTAAAGGAAAAATAACTTATTTCCAGAACATTATACAGACCACTGGAATACTATGTTGAATCATTTGTTCTTTTCAAAATGCCACATTGCATATATTTCTACTAAGAGTCCTATGTTTTCTAAACATCTTGAATTTTTGTAAACCAACTTCCAATCAAGTCTTCCCATATCTTGTTAGCATTAATAATATACCTATATCATTGATTCTGAGGTACATCTTTTTTTTACTTTCTTCACACTTCTGAAAGGTATGTCTTCTTATGATCACTGGTGCCTTGTAATTATTATTGCAGCTTTTTTTCTTTTTTACATGTATGTGAAATAGTGATCCATCAGTGGCATCTTAGATTTGATGAAATATGGATGCAGTCTTTTTGTGTCTTGAGGCTTTTTATATTGAAGCCAACAAAGGAAATAAATTTAGCATGTGCAGAAAAATCTGTTAAAATAAGTGCATATAAAGTCTTTGCATATATGTTAAAGCACTATTTAGAAATGTATTCATGAGAAAAGCTCTACCCAGATGTAGAAAAACAAAGTGTTGATTCAGAGCTCGAAATACAAGATACTTAAGTCAAATATTAAAAAAAAATAATTTAAAATTATCAGATTTCTTTTAAAAAGCTTTTATTGGTAGCGTAGCAATATAAAATAATTTCAAGTTTTTGAATTTTTTTTTGAGACGGAGGTTTGCTCTTGTTGCCCAGGCTGGAGTACAGTGGCACAAACTTGACTCACTGCATCCTCTGCCTCCCAGGTTCAAGCGATTCTCCTGCCTCAGCCCCCTGAGTAGCTAGGATTACAGGCATACGCCACCACACTCAGCTAATTTTTTGTATTTTTGGTAGAGATGGGGTTTTACCATGTTGTCCAGCCTGGTCTCCAACTCCTGACCTCAGGTGATCCACCCCCCTTGGCCTCCCAAAGTGCTGGGATTACAGGTGTGAGCCACTGTGCCCGGCCAATTTCACATGTCAATGGAAGGAAGGTGCCAGGCATAGTGGCTCAATCTGTAATCAAAGCACTTTGGGAGACAAAAGTGGGAGGATCACTTGAGATCAGGGGTTTGAAACCAGCCTGGGAAACAGTGAGACTCTTTCTCTACAAAAAGTGAAAAAATCAGCAGGGCATGGTGGCACATGCCTGTAGTCCTAGCTATTTAGGAGGTTGAGATAGGAGGATCTCTTGAGACCAGGAGTTTGGGTTTATAGTGAACTATGATTGCACCACTACACTCTAGTCTGGGTAACAGCGAGACCTCATCTCTTAAAAAAAAATACAAGGAAGTTCACATAATCTCATTGTGCCTCTGATGCAGTGTTACCATATTTATGTGACCAAACACTGTATTATACTTTTCTGTGTAAAATAACCTTAAAACCAGGGCAGATGACTTATTTCCCATACCCCAAATTCCTTAAAATCAAAGTGTCTCAAATATCTGTACCAATAAGTTTAGTATTGAATGACTTTTGAAGTTAAAAATAAAAAAAATGGTTGATTTTTAGTTCTAAATTTTTTAGGTGGTTTAAATGTCTTCTGAGTAACTACATTGTTAACTTTAAAATCAAATTGTTTATATTATTACGCAGCCCTTATCTGCTGCTTAGCTAATGGGCAAGACTTAGCTAGCAGGAACTTAGTAAATGTTAGTTAACTGATGTTTGGTTTTTGTTTCTTTCTTTTTTGTCTTTTGTTTTTTCCTACTAGTTGAATGGTACAGAGAGAATTTTCACAACTGGAAGAATGTGGAAAAGGCATTAGAACCCTTTCCAGTATAATCACCATTTATATAGTCAAGACAGTTGTCAAAGAAGAAAATTATCCTACCTCCACAAGTGATACGAAGTCAAGTGCCAAATGAAGTGCTCTCTTTTCATTTGGAATTAGATTAATGACTTTTTCTATAAAATTCAAATGCAGAATGCCTCAATCTTTGGGAGAGTTTCAGTATTGGCAAAGGATTTAAATGTCAGAATTCTTTCTAAAACCCTTGTTCCTGGAAACTAGGAAATAGTAGGTGTAGAAGACTCTCCCTAAGGGTGGCCAGGAAGAAGTCTTCTGGTTCTGACAACCGTGATGGGTAATGGTGCCAGACAGATGGCAGCCTTCACTGGTTTTGAACTCAGTCAGCTTCCCAGCCTGTCCCAGTACCTAAGAAACTCTCTGAAGTGTTCGTGTTTTTTTTTTTTTGAGTCGGAGTTTCGCTCTTGTTAACCCAGGCTGGAGTGCAATGGCGCAATCTCGGCTCACCGCAACCTCCGCCTCCTGGGTTCAGGCAATTCTCCTGCCTCAGCCTCCTGAGTAGCTGGGATTACAGGCACGCGCCGCCATGCCCAGCTAATTTATTTTTTTGTATTTTTAGTAGAGACGGGGTTTCACCATTTTGACCAGGATGGTCTCGATCTCTTGACCTCATGATCCACCTGCCTCGGCCTCCCAAAGTGCTGGGATTACAGGCGTGAGCCACCGCGCCCGGCTGAAGTGTTCGTTTTTAGGCAATATAGGATGAGTCTTTTTTTTTTTTTTTTTTAAATAAAGACGGGGTTTCACCATGTTCGTCAGGCTGGTCTTGAACTCCCGACCTCAAGTGATCCACCCGCCTTGGCCTCCAAAGTGCTTGAATTACAGGTGTGAGCCACCACGCCCGGCCTAGGATGAGTCTTACGCCCTAATTCACCTTTTCTTTTTTAAGATCCGATAAGCTATCATTGCTTTAATAGTGGAACAAAATACTAGCATATCTAGCACTTTTTAACTTTTGATAATTTTGTAAAATTGTTTATGTTGAATACTTTTTAAGAAAAGAATGTAAAGTTTTTATATTTTCACAACTAATTGTGAATAAGTTGACCTATATAAAACCTTGTATCAGAGAAATTTATCATGTATTTACTGTTTAAAATGATTTTATTTATAAAATTGTCAATATCTGAAAGTATTTATGTAGAATATGGCTTTTAAAAATAATCTGTTTTTGCTGTAGAAAAATTTAAAAACTTGAGTATGTATTTTTAATCCTTCTTTGCCCTAAAGACTTTAAGATGACTCGAAAAAGTAACTGGTTGGCTACTGGGTGGAGAAAGGGAAAAGAAGCTGGGTGACCCTCTATTAAGAATGCAGATTGTGGTGTGGAGGCTTCATAATTCCTCATTAGAAAATCTTAAACTTTAAAAATACCCTTAATACCAGCCTCCTACTGTGCTTATGCTCCTAAGTCCATACCTCTTCTCTTCAGTTTCTCCATTTTCCCCTTTCTAGAGAGAAAGGGAGGAAAGACTAGAGTGTCCGTTGAGTCTTTCAGGAAGCAGATGCTGAGACGAAGTAATGACTATAATGATAAAAGAGGGAGGAAGCAAAACTGAGCAGGCTGTGCAGGCAGAAAGGCAAACCCGCATGGAGAAAATGTCTATTGTGAGAATCAGCTACTGGCCCTTTCACAGTGGAAAGGACCCAATGGAGTTCGTGGGCTACCAAGTAGCTGATGGGTTTCCTTGAAGAATAGTGCCATATTGGGGACTCAGTATTTGTCTTTGTTGCCAGCGGATTGGATATTCACAGGTGGTAATAGCTAGATTAGCCGTGGTAGGTGAGAATTCATGCTGTGGGTCCCGAGAGTAGGGACCATCTGTACAGTGAGGCCTATTCCATTCAGATGCTCATCATGGTAGTTCTGGGGTGGCTGATGATGAAAGCTGACTAAAGTTAACTGACCAAGTCATTTTATCTTGTGGATGGTTCAGTGCCTCTTGCTATGGTGGTTGCTTTCTAGCGAGTGTTAACATGGAATATACAGATCTTCATACTCCCTATCCTCTCCCATAGATAGGCCCATCCTCACTCCTCCAACCTTTACTTCCTTGTTTTCTGCTTCTCTGCACTTCTTCCTTCTATAAGCCCCAAAGTATCTAGCCAGGCTACTGCTCATGACTAAATGTATTTCCTCACCACAGGTCACTAGGATACATAGTGCATGAGCAGGTATACTACCTGAAGCTTTATTCTTTGACAGGTCTTCTCTTTCCATGTTCTTTTTAAGGCCACCCCTGCATGGCTTTCAGGCAGCCACCCTCCATTGTTGGCTTGTATTCACATAACAGGCCAACCCATCTATAAACTAAGATCAGCTTTTTCTTCTCCTTTCAGTTGGTTGTATGGGACCCTCTATATGGCTATAGGTATAAAGAACTAAGGTGGTGACATGGGAGTCTGGCCTACCTGCTCTTGCAGTTTACTTCTGCTCTCCCATTCTGCTCATGGTCAATACCAGATGTGCCATTTCCACCTTCCAATGGACTGCTGCTGGCTCCACCTGACTCTGAGTGGGTGAGCACATTACTCTGCCAGAGCTGCCGTAACAGAATATCAGAGACTGGGTAGCTTTCACACAGAAATTAATTTTCTCACAGTTCCGGAAGCTAGAAGCCCAAGGTCAGGATCAAGGTGTTGCCAGGGTTGGTTTCTGCTGAGGCCTCTCGGCTTGCAGGTGGCCATCGTCTGTCTCACATGATCTTTACTCTGTGTCTAAATTTTCTCTTCTTATGAGGACACCAGTCATATTGGATTAGGGTGTATTTTAAAGATCTCATTTTAATATGCCTTTTTAAAGACTTTGTTTCCAAGCATAGTCACTTTCTGCGGTACTAGGAGTTAGTACTTCAACAGAAGAATTTGGTGGAGACACATTTCAGCCCTTAACAGTGGGTCCAAGTGAACTTAGCACATATGAGCAGTTCTAGATGCATGGTCATTTGATGTCCTGTGGTCAAGCATTCTGGCTCTACCATGGCACAGTAATTTGTTTCCAAAAGCATGATTCTCCACTGTGCTTGGAATGGTCTTTCTCAGGTCTAACCATGGGACCTTCATGGTTATTCTCCACTGGGTCTCACCATAAAACCCATACTACATCTGTCGCTACCACTGACACCATCAGCACCATAGGGTTTACCACATCATATAGCCCAAATGGCAGGAATGGTTGCACCCCACCTTAGACCTGCTGTAGACCTCTTTCCCATCCTAGACCCCTCAAAGCTGGCAGCCTTTTCTGTCGCTCCGTATATGAGCTGGAGCAGTATCCCTAAGGGTGGAATGTGTTCCCTCCAGAACCCAAAGCCAGGTTCTGTTCTTTGTGGAAGGGGATATAAGGTAAAGCAGTTTGACTTCTATATGGAGGGCATGTCCTGGCACACCCTCACGGTTGGACTCCTAAAAACTTTACTGAAATCACAAGTCCTTGAATCTTCATCAGGTTTTATCTCCCACCTTCTGGGGTGAATGTGAATTACCAAAGCCATCAGGGTGCTAGCCACCTTTGCTAATTCTGCCTGATCAGCATGATGTCATCAGTGTGATAGATCAGTGTGACATTGTGCAGGATGTTCAGGAGACCCAAGTCTCTGAGGAAAGCAGAACTTCCATAGCCCTAAGGTGAAACTGCAAATGCAGCTGGCTTCTGATTGTCTGTGGTTGAGATGGAAAAGAACATGTTCAGCAGATCAGTGGCTGGATACTGTGTTCCAGGGGCCTTCTCATCTGCTTCAGCAAAGAAGATGCCACATGAGCACAGCAGCTACCATTAGAGCCTGGTATAAGTTTGGATATTTGTCCCCACCCAAATCTCATGTTGAATTATAATCCCTAGTGCTAGAGGTGGGGCCTGGTGGGAGGTGTTTGGGTCACGGGTCAGAATCCCTCATGGGTTGACACTGTCTTTGCAATAGGAAGTCCTTGTGAGATCTGGTTGTTTAAAAGTGTGTGATACCTACCCTGCCTCCCCATTGCCTCTCTTTCTTGCTCCTGCATTCACTGTGTAATGTGCCTGCTCCTAGTTTGCCTTCTGTGATGGGTAAAACCTCCCAAAGCCCTCCCCAGAAGCCAAGGGACATCAGTGCTATGATTGTACAGCCTGCAGAACCATGAGCCAATTAAACCTCTTTTCTTGTAAATTACCCAGTTGCAGGTATTTCTTTACAGCAGTACAAGAACAGCTTAATACTGAGCTGCTACTTAATTGAGCTGGCCTTGACTGCAGTCATTCCTCAGGATCTACCCAGTGCCAGCAGTGGCCAGATTGGTGAATTAGATAGAGCTTTGGTTGGGGCCTCTCTGTATCCTTGAGATCCTCAAGGGTGGCATCATCTTTATATCCTTCAAGGTGTGATTTTTGTGTTTTAAATTGAGACAGAGGATCTCACTATATTGCCCAGGCTGGTCTTGAACTCCTGGACCTAAGCAATCCTCCTGTCTCAGCCATGGTTCTAAAGTGTTGGGTCATGGGGGCGAATCCCTCATGGCTTGACACTGTCTTCGCGATAGTAAGTTCTCATGTGATCACTGCTCCCAGCTTGTTTTTGATTTACACTCTCAACCAGGCAGGGGCTCCCCTGAGGCAAGTTTCTTAAGTTTGCATAAGCCAAGGTTAGGGCACTGGTTGGGAAAACCTGAAACCCTAACACAAAGATGAGACTGAGTGGATCCCTTTAAAGATGTCTGCAGCTTTTTTTTTTTTTTTTTTTTTTTTTGAGACGGAGTTTCACTCATGTTACCCAGGCTGGAGTGCAATGGCGCGATCTCGGCTCACCGCAACCTCCGCCTCCTGGGTTCAGGCAATTCTCCTGCCTCAGCCTCCTGAGTAGCCGGGATTACAGGCATGCACCACCATGCCCAGCTAATTTTTTGTATTTTTAGAGACGACGTTTCACCATGTTGACCAGGATGGTCTCGATCTGTTGACCTCGTGATCCACCCGCCTTGGCCTCCCAAAGTGCTGGGATTACAGGCGTGAGCCACCGCCCGGCCTTGTCTGCAGCTTTTAAACTTTAACTGAGTTTGGTCTTGACCTTCTTCTGGTCTCCCACCTCATGATAAGGCCGTCACACCTAGTTGTCACTTAATTGTTCTCAGCTTTTCCTTACCCCTCTGGAGGGCATCAGTACAACTTTTTAAAGACCAACAATTCCACTGCCCTTGTAAGACTTGTTCTCCTGAGCTTTTCAAGTGCCTGAATTATTGAAGTAAGCAGGGCAAGGTGGTCCCCTTCCCAGGAACACTCCCCTGAGTCACCACCGTGAAAGTTTTAGCAATTGTGTCGCTGCCTAATGCTAGGGACTATTTGTGCCCCCTGCTTCCCCCAGGATGATATTCTTATGACCAGCCAGGCAGAAAGGGATCCAGTCCAAACTCATCAACTGTTTTGTTAGATCACTCTTAGAACTGACTGTGTCATTTGAGTCCTCTGGGAAGTAGTGGCTGAGGCCAAATTAGAGGTCCCAGTTTATTAATGGGGAGGGGAGTTAATGCTTGTGAAAGATACAAAAGGGAAGATGCATAATTGGGCAGCAGAAATCTTCAGGCTGCAGTGTAGATGAGACAGCTGTGAAAAGGAAGGGGCGAGCACGAGGGTTGGCGTCATGAGCCTCGGAATCTCATCCAGCTCAGCAGGGATCTGCAGAGCAAAATCCCCTGAAAAAAGTCCCACCTGGGCAGAAAGGGCGGGCTTCCCTGTTGTGCAGTCATTGGCCAGGGGCTACTTAGAAACGGCCCGGTGGATCCTGAAGGAATTGCAAGTGGAAGCTGCCAGCTAACTGCACTCTTGCCAGCTAAATGGCAAGCTTTTTCTTAAAGGGAAATCAAAATGGTAGACCATTTAATTGCCATTTGTAGGGGAGAAGGGTTCTTGGGGTTTAATTGCTCTCTATACCGACATTCAAACGAACCACTTGTTTTTTTGTTGTTGTTGTTTTGTTGTTGTTGTTGTTTAAGATGGAGTCTCATTCTATTGCCCACGCTGAAGGGCAGTGGCGCTGTCTCAGCTCACTGCAGCCTCCACTTCCCGAGTTCAAGTGATTCTCCTGCTCAGCCTCCCGAGTAGCTGAGACTACAGACATGTTCCACCATGCCCAGCTAACTTTTTGTATTTTTAGTACAGACAGGGTTTCACTGTGTTAGCCAGGATGGTCTCAATCTCCTGACCTCATGATCCACCCGCCTCGGCCTCCCAAAGTACTGAGGTTACAGGCGTGAGCCACTGCGCCTGGCCACACCACTTGCTTTTTGTCCAATGCCTTGCCCTCCCCCACCTCCCTTACCTCCACCTTCATTGCCCCAGTTGCTGCCAGGTTCTATAAGGTCAGCTTACCTAATTTGGAGATTCCTAGAAGGCTCGCTAGAGATGACATTTGAGCTGTGACTTAAAGAATACATGGGAGTTAGTGGGGAAGCTGAGGATGATTCCAGGCAGACGTTTCATCAGAGTGAAAGCACCAAGTTTTAAATAATGCTGTGTGTTCAGGGAACAGGCCATCAGTGTTACTCTAGCATAGTCATTCCCAAAATGTATCTTCATTTCATTAAGGAAATCAAAACTATAATGAGATATCATCTGACACCCCTCAGGATGGCTATGATTTTTTAAAAAAACAAAGTGTCAGTGAGGATGGAGAGAAATTGGGACCTTGGTGCATTGCTGGGGGGAATGTGAAATGATGCAGCCTCTGTGGAAAACAATGTAGTGGTTCTTCAAATACAATCCAGCAATTCCACTTCTAGGGATATATCCAAAAGAATTGAAGGCAGAGACTGCGATGCCTGCACACCAGTGCTCATGGCAGCAATATTCACAATAAGCCAGAAGGTGGAAGCAACACAAATGTCCATCAACAGATAAATGGATAAAACAAAATGGCATATACAATGGAATATTATTTGGCCTGAAAAAGGATTAGAATTCTGACACTTGCTGCAACATGGATAAACCTTGAAGACATTACACTTAGTGAAATAAGCAGACACAAAAGGACAAAAGTGATGTGGTTCCACTTAAATGAGGTTCCTGGAGTAGGCAAATTGACATAGTATCAGAGGTTTACCAGTGGCTTGAGGGAGGAGGGAAGGAAGAGGTATGGTTTCATGAGTACAGGGTTTCTGTTTGGATGATGCAAAAAGGCCTGAAACCAGACAATGGTGATGGCTGTAAACATTGAGTCTACCTAGTACCCCTGCATTGTACACCTAGAAGTGGCTGAACATGACTTTTACGTTATGTGTATTTTGCCATAATAATAATTTTTAAAAATGTGGCCCTGGACAGACAGCATTCATATCACCTGGGAACTTGTTAGAAATACAAATTCTAGGCTGGGTGTGGTAGGTCACATCTGTAATCCAAGCACTTTGGGAGGCCAAGGTGGGTGGATCCTGAGGTTAGGAGTTCGAGACCAGCCTGGCCAACATGTTGCAACCCCATCTCTACTAAAAATACAAAAATAAGCCAGGTGTGGTGATGTGCACCTGTAATCCCAGCTACTTGGAAGGCTGGGGCAGGAGAATTCGCTTGAATCCAGGAGGCAGAGGTTGCAGTGAGCTGGGATTGTGCCACTGTACTCCAGCTTGGGTGGCAGAGCAAGACTCTGTCTCAAAAAAAAAAAAAAAAAAAAAAGAAATACAAATTATTGGGCCCTATCCCAGACTTACAGAATCAGAAACCCTGGGGCAGGGGGGACAGTAATTCTAATGCCCCCTGATGTTTGAAAGCCATTCTTCTGTAACATGAGATGGGAAGATGAGGCTGGAGAGGAATGTGGTAGCCAGGTCATGGAGAGCCTTGTCTGCCATGGCAAGATGCTTGGACTTTATCCTACCAGCCAAGAGCTAATTCTGGATTTTAAGGAAGGTATTGACATAGTTATATTTGTAGGATTTATCTATTTTGTAGTTACAGAAATAACAAGCTCATTACAGAAAACTTGGAAAACTAATCAATAAAAGAAAATCACCCATAATCTAACACTGGAAGATAATTCCTGTTAATATTTTGATGTATGTCATTTCAGTTTTTGGTGCAAATATACATACATTTTTAAAACCAAGTAGAGGATCATAATGGACTGCTTTTTTTCATGTAGTGGTATATCATGAACGTTTTTACATATTATGGGATCTTTTGCCATTTTTATTGACTGCAGAATTACATATTTGATAGCTTTTTCTGGCAATACTGTAGAAGATGAATTTCAGGAAGACAAGAATGAGTTCCTGCAGGGATTGAAGTTATGAAGCTTCTGCAGTAAATCAGGCTGGTGATGATAAGGCCTAAAGCACTGCACCGCAAACAGGGAGAGTCTGGGACGGATGTGAGAACATTTTAGATGTAAAAACTTACTGATTGATGATATATTGGAGGTGCTGTTTCTTGATGTGGGTGGTATTTTAAGGTTTTTAATGTTGGATTGGAAAGTGTGGAGGATAGTGGATTACATTTAGGAGATGTTGAGTTTGGGGAGACGTTGAGCTTTAAGGGTTCATGGGACATGTTAAGTAGAGATACCTGGTTAACAGTGAAGTATGTGAATGGTTATTAACATCTGAAAGTGGATTAAATCCCCCCAAGGAGAGTATATGGAATGACAGGGTTGATGGCTGGTGGAGTGATTTACAAACAAGCCATGAGAAACACCAATGTGTAAGCTGCATGCAAGCAGCCCAAGGAAATTAAGAAGGAATGGTTAAAAAAAATCAAAAAATCACTCCCACTGCTTCACTTGACTAGCCTTAAAAAACAATCCATCAATCAATTTTAAAATAAGAAGGAATAGTCAGAGGAGAGGAATAAAGGAAGAAATAATGCCACCAAAGCAAAACGAAAAGACATTCAATAACCAGCAGATGGCCAGCCAAAGTTAAGTGTCCACTGGTTTTTGGCAACGGGCAGGCAAATTTTCTTGTGTGAGAAGAGGGAGAGAGCCTCTGGATCATACAGATGGAGTAGTAATTAGGAATCCAGGGATAGAAAAATGGAATTTAGCCTTTCATTGAGCTGAGAAGAGTCAGGATGGGGTCATCCCTAAGGAAGGCACAGGCTTAAGGAAAGGTCTTCAGAAGCTACTGTATTTTGTTTTTGGCATGGAATGGACTTCTGTATGATTATAAGCTGAACAGACGAGCAATAGATGA